CACTTTGGGAAGAAGACAACGCCTTCTTTGAATCGGATTCTTGAAAGAGAGAGAGAGGGAGAGAAGAACAAGAAGGAAATGTGAGAGAGAGAGAGAGAGAGAGAGAGATATATATATATATATATATATATATTGGAGCAGATGGGGAGAGAAGAAAGAAAAGAGAGAGATGAAGAAGACGAAAAGTAAAAAAAGAATAAAGAAAGAGAAAGAGAGAAGAAATCATGATTTTACATTTTCTTTATTATTTTTAGATGTTGTCCTTGTAAAATGACAAATTTACCCTTATAATTAACAGAAAATTGGATGGAAGTCTAAAAACTTAACGACATGTGCTAAATTGACCATTTAAAATAGTCCGAGGTCTAAATCGGCTGAAAAAATAATTTAAGGTGTTAAGTTCGACAATTGAAATAGTGCAAGAGGGTTTTTGGTCGTTTACCCAAAAAGTTAATACATTTAATAAGAGTAAACTTAGAAAAAGATAAGTATCTTCTATAATGCATTAATGACATTATTTTAAGTGTAAGAAAATTGACACATGTCACGAAGAAAAAGAAGAATGTCCAAAAGAGAATGTTAGAACGAAGATAACATTCCCCTTGGGTCTTTAGAAAATTAAATGATAAATACTACTTATATGTTCTCATTGATTATAGTGAAATATTCCGTTATCTTTAAACTGCATGTAGCATAGTGGAATATTCTCATCCTAAATGTATAATGTTCCCACGCATATCATGAAGCTTTTATTTTATGTCATTTAATTACAAGAAGAAAAATCATATTAATTGAGGATGCAAGATTTGGTGATCGCACACATTTTGAAATATGAAAATAATTTAAAACTAGGCACTTGGACAAACTCCATATCAACTAGCAGTGACAAAAGAATCACAACAGCCTCAACCTTCTAACTTCCATCTCCGATTGGCAATGGCAAACCCAAGCTCAGTTAAAGTAGTTGAAGTTTGCAGGGTGGCTCCTCCTCCTCCGCCCTCACCTGGGGCATCTGCTTCCCCGAGCTCCCTTCCCCTTACCTTCTTCGACATCCGGTTCAGATTGTGTCCTGTCCAGCACCTTTATTTCTACCAAATGCCTACTTCCTCTACAACTCCGCTCTTCTTTGATTCCATACTTGTCCCAAAACTCAAAGCCTCGCTATCTAACACCCTCCAGCACTTTCTACCTTTGGCAGGAAACCTCACTTGGCCTCAAGACTCCAAAAAGCCCGTTCTTAGCTATGTCCAAGGTGACGCCGTTTCACTCACGATAGCAGAGTCTAATGCTGACTTCTACCATCTTTCAAGTGGTGACTTTGTTGAAGCCACAGAGTACCATCCTCTTGTACCCCAGTTGGGAGCTTCTCATGAACAAGCTGCAGTGGTGGCATTGCAAATCACTGTCTTTCCCAACTGTGGCTTTTCCATTGGAACTTCCATGCACCACGCAATCCTAGATGGCAAGACTTCAACTTCGTTTGTGAAATCTTGGGCTCACATTTGCAAACATGATGATCAATCTAATTCAGTGCTACCTGATGAGCTGAAACAATTCTATGACAGAAGGGTCATTCAAGATCCAGCTCAGCTCGGAGCACTATACTCAAACTCCTATCGAAATAAGGACGGTCCCAACAATAGAAGCTTAATGTTTTGGGAGAGGAAACCCCCACCGGGCTCTATCCGAGGCACCTTTGAATTCACAAAAGCAGATATAGAAACACTGAGGCAATTGTTAAAGGCTAAATTGGCAGAGCAGAAACAACAAGATATTCTTTCAGTTCATGTGTCAACTTTCACTCTAGCTTGTGCCTATACATGGGTTTGCATAGTCAAGGCAGAGGAAATAAACAGTGACCAAACACGTCTGGCTTTTAACGTGGACTGCAGGTCTCGCTTGGATCCTCCTATATCTCCAAACTATTTTGGGAACTGCATAGCGGGACGTATAGCAGTTGCTGAAACAAAAGCCTTGTTTGGAGAAGATGGGTTGGTTGTGGCTGTGAACGCAATCAGTGAAGCTATAAAGAGTTTGGAGAAGGGGGTGTTGGATGGGGCAGAGAATTGGGTTTCAAGGTTGTTTGCTGTGACTAGTGAGAGAATGCTTACGCTTGCCGGTTCACATCGGTTTGGTGTTTATGAGACTGATTTTGGATGGGGAAGACCAAAGAAGGTAGAGATTGTTTCCATAGATAGAACCAGAGCTATCTCCTTTTCAGATGCCAAGACTGATGCTGGGGTTGTTGATGTTGGGTTAGTCTTAGACAAACATAGCATGCAGGTGTTTGCTTCTCTATTTGCTAAAGGTCTTCAAAACCCTTGAAGCTTGAAGCCTCCTCATCTATACTATTCTGGGGAATAATAATTTGGGGCTTCATTGCTTCTCTTAATAATTAACTTTTTGAACGTCGCCTTTTCTTCTAGAAAGATTTAGGCAATCAGTGATGACTTCGATGGCAAAGAAGAAGCAACAAGATCACTCAGTTCATTTGTCAACGTTTTCTGTAACATGTGCTTATACATGGGTTTGCTTAGTCAAGAGGCAGATGAAATGAAAGCAGACAAAATGCTTCTGGTTTTTCATTGTAATTATATTTGTCAAGGCAACATTTTTTATTATTTAAATATGGGTCGCCTTACATCACTTTGATTTAACTATTAAGACTCAATTAGCAGGTGAGATGGAATAATTCTGAGTGGAGTGGTAAGCAAGTGGCGTCGAAGAATTTTGATTTAATAATCACATTCTAAATTATTTTATTTTTTTGGTCGATTCTAAATATATAATGTTCCCACGCATATCATGCAAGGTTTTACTTTATATCAGTATTTAATAACTAGAAGAAATCATGTCCCGTTACGCATATGAATTTTTATAGAAGAAGTACGCAAGATTTGGTTATCATGGTGTTAGAAAAATAAGGGGTTTAATTGCTATATTTAAAGAAGAAGAAAAAAGAATTTAATTCATGCAAATAAATACCAAATTAAATGCATAAAATAATTAGAACAATATAAGAGAAGTTTTAGAAAAATCTGAGTATTGTCGAGTCTAGAACTTGATTCTATTTCTTTAAGATGAAATTGCTCCTCACTGGTGCTTCAAGGTTCCAATAGCAAACATCTCCCAAAATACAATTACTTCCTTCTTGTGATAGTAGCATTCGAGGCCACAAGAACAACGAATGCTGACTTGTGTTTGAACTATGTCTCAATATAAGACTCTATTTTACTGACAAAGACTCATGTATGCAGTGAATGAAAAACTCTCTATCGCCCTGGGGTGCCAGCTTTTCTTGTGAATTGTTTGGCTACGGATGCTGTTGGGGTGTCTAGGTCCCGTGTTGTTTGTGCTTAGTCTTGTTGTTCTGGGCTCTTAGCCCCTCTTGTTACCCAAAAAAAAAAAGGAACTCTTTATTAAATTCTCAATGTGTTGCAGTATTTATAATACTAAAAAAACTTGTTTAGAGGGGTTGTGTCTCATAATGAAAAGTCAAAATGTACAACTCTTGCTTATATAACTTTTCATTTAAAACCCATTCACTGTAACTTAATTTTATACATCCTATAATAAGAAATCTTTTAATATTAAAAATATTAAAATTTTCCAACAATCCCCACATGGATGTAAAAAATTAATCAACAAAATGAAAATAAAAATGCAGACACTTAAGAGAGTTCAATTGGAAATGCAATGAAGATATTTACTCTTAAGATATCCTTACTTCTTAAGCTATTCTTCTTAGAACCTTACGAAAGTAAGTCATTCAGTAATCAAGTCTATAATTTGAACACAACAGGAAGTCAAATTGATTAGACTAATCAAGTCTATAATGCTATGGTTTGGTGATAAGTAGTAATCGTACCGCGTTGGACAAATTGAAAACCAATCGGTGACATTTACTTATATGTACTAACACTTAGGTGTTGTTTGTTACACAGGCTTGGTTTGGCCTGATTTGAACTAAATTTAATATCATGTTTGTTTCATCTAATCTTAGTTTTAGATGGGATTACCAATAATGGGCCCACCAAAAACACCTCCTTAGGAGGGGACTACTAAACTCATATGGAAAAGGAGGATTAACTAGTCTCATACTCACCAATGTATAAAATGCATATATTATATTGTACTACTAATAACATATATTACTATTATTATTATTATTATTATTATTATTATTATTATACTTACATACACATATACTATAATGTACATATATACATGTATATACACATATATAATATATGTATATATACATACATATATATATGTATATATACACACACACATATATACACATATATATATATATATATATATGTATATATGTATTATACCTATGTATATTATAATATACATATATACACTTATATACACACACATACATATATATATGTATGTGTGTGTGTGTTTATATTATTTATAATATTGTGTGTGTGTTTATATTATTTATAATATATAATATTATCATAATATACATGTATACACACATATATATATTATAAAATACGTACATACACATACATAATATATGTATTTATACATATATACACATATATAGCTAGTTTTGAAAAAATAAAAAAATCTAGTCCTAGTCCAAGCATACACCAAACACATGATAAGTGTTATCCAACTTAGACTCAGCCAAGGCAAGACATCCCTAAGCATAGTCCATACTAAGACAATCATGTGTAACAAACGAGCCCTTAGTACATAAGCCTTGACTGAATTGATTACCAATCCAGTGGTGACATCTTCTAAAACTTGAAAATGATGATATACCAAACGAAGTGTGGTTTTGTGGCTTCTATTGTGTGGCGTGGCCTGATATCAGCCCCATTTTGTATTTCACCAAATACACGTCTGTTTGCTCTTAAAGAGAGAGAATAAATTCTCCTTTTTCGTATGCTTCTACGGTGCTGCATGCAACAACTTTAGTTTTATCTTGCCTCTTTTGATCATTCGGTGTTTGCCTTATATTTGTCTCCATTTCTTATTGGGTGTGCTAGCAACTTTGTGAACGACAAGAAGAGTTCGTGAGTTTCTCTTCTCTTCTTGTTGTTTCCTCTTTTTGTTTATGAGTTGCTTGGTATATTTGTTTTAGATCTCTTTTGATAATTGTTTGCGAGCAAGAATCTGAGTACTGTTATTGGCTCAAATGTTTGAGAGTGTATTGGGTGTATTGGCGCAAATGATAGGCTACAAAGTCGAACTAGTATAAATCATGTGTATTATTGGTTTATTTATATTTGTCAAATTTTGCATCTGCTTGATATAGGTCACATATATACTACGCCTCCGTACAACACTAAGCACTTGGACAGATTCCACCTGACCTGTCTAGTAGTAGTGATAAAAAGAGGGCAAAAGGATCCATCTCCATTTGGCAATGGCAGAACCAACAAGCTCGGTTAAAGTAGTTGAAGTTTGCAGGGTGGCTCCTCCTCCTCCACCCTCACCCGGTGCATTCGCGTCCCCGAGCTCCCTTCCCCTTACCTTCTTCGACATCGTTCAGATTGTGTCCTGTCCAGCACCTTTATTTCTACCAAATGCCTACTTCCTCTACAACTCCGCTCTTCTTTGATTCCATACTTGTCCCAAAACTCAAAGCCTCACTCTCTAACACCCTCCAGCACTTTCTACCTCTGGCAGGAAACCTCACTTGGCCTCAAGACTCCCAAAAACCCGTCCTTAACTATGTCCAAGGCGACACCGTTTCGCTCACAATAGCAGAGTCTGGTGCTGACTTCTACCATCTTTCAAGTGGTGACTTTGTTGAAGCCACAGAGTACCATCCTCTTGTACCCCAGTTGGGAGCTTCTCATGAACGAGCTGCAGTGGTGGCATTGCAAATCACTGTCTTTCCCAACTGTGGCTTTTCGATTGGAACTTCCATACACCATGCAGTCCTAGATGGCAAGAGTATAACTTTATTTGTAAAATCATGGGCTCACATTTGCAAACATGATGATCAATCTAATTCAATGCTACCTGATGAGCTGAAACAATTTTATGACAGAGTGATTCAGGATCCAGCTGAGCTTGGAACAATCTACTCGAACGACTATCGAAATAAGGACGGTCCCAACAATAGGAGCTTAATGGTTTGGGAGATGAAACCACCACCAGACTCAATCCGAGGCACCTTTGAATTCACACGAGCAGATATAGAAACACTGAGGCAATCGTTCAAGGCTAAAATGGCAGAGCAGAAACCAGTTCATGTGTCAACTTTCACTCTAGCTTGTGCCTATACATGGGTTTGCGTAGTCAAAGCAGAGGACATAAAAGCTGACAAAACACGTCTGATCTTTAGCATGGACTGCAGGTCTCGCTTGGACCCTCCTATACCTGCAAACTATTTCGGAAACTGCATAGCAGGATGTATACCAGTTGCCGAAACGAAAGGCTTGCTTGGAGAAGATGGGTTGGTTGTCGCCGTGAATGCAATTAGTGAAGCTATAGAAAGATTGAAGAAGGGGGTTTTGGATGGGGCAGAGAATTGGGTTTCAAGGTTGTTTGCTTTGGGAAGTGAGGGAAGAATGCTCAGCATTGCTGGTTCAAATCGGTTCGGAAATTATGATATTGATTTTGGATGGGGAAGACCAAAGAAATTTGAGATTGTTTCCATAGATAGAACCAGAGCTTTCTCCCTTTCAGATTCCAAGACTGGTGCTGGGGCTATTGAAGTTGGGTTGGCTTTAGACAAACATGACATGCACGTTTTTGCTTCTCTATTTGCTAAAGGTCTTCGAAACCTTTGAAGCGCTTGAAGCCTCCGCAACAACATTTTCTTTTTGCACTTTATATTTTCTGGAATAATAATTTGGGATTCGTTGGTCAATAGTACACCAACCTTGTATGCTCTCAACAATCAGCTTTGTGATGATGTTTTTCTTTGGACCAGGTGCAGGTGGCTCTGTCCGTCTCTTTTCCTATGTACTGCATCAAATAAACTTCTTAGTTTTTTTTTTCTGGTCAACTATAAAAGTTAACAAACTTTGTATGCTCTCAGTAATTACCTTTGTGAACATGTTGTTCTTTGGACCAGGTAGCTAGCTCTGTTTCTTTTCCTATGTACTGTCTCTAATATCTGTTTATTTTCCTCTGTCTTATATCCAGTCAAATACAATGTGCTTACTTTACTTTCCTTCTCTTCCAAAACACTTTTTTAATGTATGGTATTCAACCAAAGTTGAAATATATATGTGAAATCGTATTTTAAATATATATATATATATATATTAATATTTTGGGAAATTATATGATTTGTTATCTATTTAGTTTATAATTTAAATTATATTTAATTGATTATATATGTAGATGGAGTTTTTATTGAGGGATCTCTCAAATAAGCTTATTTGAGGGACACCCTTATAGGACTCACTCAACATTGTATTTCTCTAATTCAGACCGTCAATTTTTAAAAAAAAATAAAAACAACATTGAAAAGTAAAACAACATTACAAGTTGTCCACGACAAGCTTTCATATTATGATAACTTAGCAACTATTGTTGATTTTAAAGGACTTTGAAATGGTCATGGGGCTGTCAAAAGAAATAATGAACTTACCTTCAGGATAGGTAATATGCCAAATGCAATGGATGTGGTCTCCCTATAGTCGTAGAGTGACATGTCATGCAAGCAATAAAACTAATTACACTTTTCCCATTTATACTGATTTCTAAGTATTTCTCTTCAATTTATATTATTATTTCTAACTTCAATGTGAAAAGGAAGGAGCATTAAATGAAACCATGTCTAATTATTTTTTACCAAAAGCAAAAAAAAAAAAAAAAAAATTTCTATTTAAACCTTACACCTTTTTTTTTCACCTTAATACTTAAATAATTAATCTCTTAAGTTTTATTATTGTGTAAAAAGACAAAAAAAAGTCATCCAACTTAATACTTAACCCTAGTACATCTATACACACACCTCACCACTCTTCATATTACGTTTTAGAAAAACACAAACTCCTATACACCCTATTACTGCCAGATTACTCATCTCTTCTAATCCAAAAAACCTACTACACTCTCAACTTCTCTTTACAAAACCTAAATACTTTATGCAAATAGTGGCTTGTGGGTCGTCAATTGAGGTATGTAATGTGAAAAGTCATTATCAGGAAGACCACCTGCTAATTTCCCCAAGCAAACTTCTGGATTTTGTGCAAGAATTTGATCATGGCTTCTTAAGGAAGGTAAAGATTGTGAGTCTCTATGTTTTACAATAAGTAATGATAGCTAAAATTAGCTGTTAATCACTAAGCTTCAAAGTAGAGTGGTGAGCGGCAAAATAGGGGGGTGTGGGGTTGATGAGTTTTTTTATTTTATTTTACGCTGGGTATGTATTTATGGGTAGTTTGGAAAGATAGTGGAGTTTTCTTAAAAATTGTAAATTTTTAAAAAATATGTGGTACCCAAAGGGAAGTGCATAAATGGAAAAACTCAACAAAAAAAACTTCCAGTTAGTTGCTTTTTTAAACAACATAGCGCATCCCTAACTTGGTGCCCAATGCCCATGCGTTTTTCAAAGAAAAGGGCAGCAGTTGTTATGGGTGAAGGGTGAAGTTTCGTCGGGAAGTTTCGTCGAACACTTGGTGGGCATATTGGAGTCGCCCACCAATCTTCCAAGGGGTCGCCGGAGCACCTTCCCAGCCACTTTTCCGGCTTCCAAGGGGTCCGCTGGTCAATAGTTTCTAATTCCAATAGTCCAATGGCAGAGCTAAGCTCAACCTCAGTGAAACTAGTTGAGGTCTGCAGGGTAGCTCCACAACCACAACCAGATGTTGCAGAGTTTTCTCTTCCCCAAACCTTCTTCGACCTCCTATGGCTAAGGTTTCCACACTTCCACCGCCTTTTCTTCTACGAAATATTGGCTTCCTCTGCCTCAGCTGACACAAAACCCTTCTTTGATTCTCTACTCTTTCAAAAACTCAAAGCCTCACTCTCTGTCACCCTCCAACACTTTCTACCTCTGGCAGGAAACATCATTTGGCCCCAAGACTCCCACAAACCCGTTCTCAGTTATGTCCAAGGCGACGCCGTTTCGCTCACCACAGCCCATTCTGATGCTGATTTCCACCGTCTTTCAAGCAACGACTTCAACATTGAAGCCAAAGAATACCATCCTCTTGTACCCCAATTGGCAATATCTCGTGAAAAAGCTGCTGTGATGGCTTTTCAAATCACTCTCTTTACCAACAGCAGCGGCTTCTCCATTGGAATTTCCATGCACCATGCAGCTCTTGATGGCAAAACTTTGTTCATGTTTCTGAAATCATGGGCCCACTTATGCAAACATGAACCTGATACTTTGTTGCCTGATCAGCTGAAACCATTTTATGACAGAAGGGTCTTCATCCAGGACCCAGCTGGGCTCGAGCTCGAAGCAATCTACTTGAACCAGTTTCTGAATATGGACCAACGACCCAACAACCGAAGCTTGATGGTTGCCACCCGCTATAAATCTCTAGCGCTACCGGATTCGATTCGAGGCACGTTCGAATTCACTAGCACAAAAATTGAAGCACTAAGGCAATCTGTCATGATCAAGAAACATCAACAATATCATCAATCTGTTCTAAATTTGTCAACGTTTTGTCTAACATGTGCCTACACATGGGTTTGCTTAGTCAAAGCAGAAGAAGAAGAAGAAGAAGAAGAAGAAGAAATAAAAGACGACCAAATACTTATGGTGCTTAGCGTGGACTGTCGGTCTCGCTTGGACCCTCCTATACCTGCAACCTATTTTGGCAACTGCATAACGGGCCATGGAGCATTTGCAGAAAGAAAAGGACTTTTGGGAGAAGATGGGTTCTTTGTGGCTGTAAATGCGATCAGTGAAGCCATAAAAGGTTTGAATAACGGGGTCTTGAATGGGGCAGAGAACTTAGTTTCAAGTTTGTACCTTTCTGAATCTGATCTTCAGGCTACTACTGATCATTCAAGAGTGTTTACCACCGCTGGATCACATCAGTTTAAGATGTACGATACTGATTTCGGGTGGGGAAGACCAAAGAGTACCGAAGTGGTTCCCATAGGTAGAAGAGGAGCCATCACTTTTTCAGATGGCAAGAATGGAGGTGGAGCTGTTGACATTGGCTTGGTTCTGAAGAAACATCACATGGAGGTTTTTGCTTCTCTATTTCCTAAAGGTCTTCAAAACCTTTGATTCCCCTTAGCTGGTTTCAATAGAAATTTATATTTCACTTTATCTTTTAGGGAATAATTGGGAGTTCATTGGTCATTGGGGCAACTCTTATGCTCTCAATTATTAATCTTGTTAAGATGTTGCTGTTTGAAGCAGGCCGCTCTGTATTTTGGCTTAGTATGCTTATATATCTCTGTATATTTTGTTTGGGACAAACTGGTGTATAAATTGCATGGAGTTTTACTGCTCTAAGATTTGAATCACAACTCATTTTCATGTATATAGTTACTATATTCCATTTACACATTGATTTGGATCACAACTCATTTTTCAACCATGAACTAAATGATTGTTTGGATCAATAAAGTAGGACAGAATTGTTCCACAATCCACATGTTGAACAATTCTATGAGTTGTTTGGATCAATGATTTCTTAATGCTTGATACTAATATTCATACGTATTGACTTTGATAATTTAATTGCTTTTATGTGGGTGTCATCCTAGTGTGCCAGGCTGTTGAGTGCGTCTTTTGGGGCACCAAATATATATTCTAAGGGTGTGAACTTAGAATATCAAAGCCTCTATCTCCAATGGCACAACCAAGCTCAATGAAAGTAGTTGAGGTTTGCTGGGTAGCTCCCAAACCAAGCTCACCAGACTCAGCCTCCCCAGATGATCAGTCTCTTCCTCTGACTTTCTTTGACCTTCTCTGGCTAAGGTTTCCTCCCATTCAACGCGTTTTCTTCTATGAAATATCTTCATTCAACACACCCCTCTTCTTCGATTCCATACTTCCAAAACTCAAAGCCTCACTCTCTCTCACCCTCCAGCACTTTCTGCCTCTTGCAGGAAACCTCACTTGGCCCCAAGACTCCCAAAAACCCTTTCTCAGTTATGTCAAAGGTGAAACCCTTTCTCTTACAATAGCTGAATCTGATGCTGATTTCTACCATCTAGTTTCAACCAACAACTTCAATATTGAAGCCAAAGAATACCATCCTCTTATACCCCAATTGGCAGTGTCTCACGACCAAGCCGCAGTGATGGCGTTGCAGATCACAATTTTCCCCAACTGTGGTTTTTCCATTGGATCAGCCGTGCACCATGCTGCCCTTGATGGCAAAACTTCAACATCTTTTTTGAAACTATGGGCTCACCTGTGCAAACATGGAGGACTGTCCTCATCTTTGTTACCAGAGCCACCAAAACCATGTTATGACAAGAGGGCCGTCAAGGACCCTGCCGGCATTGAAGCAATCTACTTGAAGGAATGGTTAAATGCAGGAGGGCCCAATAATACAAGCTTGATGTCTTTGGGGGTTAAAGAATTTCCACTAGACTCAATTCGAGGTACGTTTGAATTCACACGAGCAAAAATAGAAGCATTAAGACAATCAGTGATGACTATGATGGCAAAGAAGAAACAACAAGATCATTCAGTGCTTCATTTGTCAACGTTTTCTCTAACATGCGCTTATACATGGGTTTGCTTAGTCAAGGCAGAGGAAATAAAAGCGGAGAAAGTACTTTTGGTCTTTAGCGCAGACTGCAGGTCTCGCTTAGACCCTCCCCTGCCTGCAACCTATTTTGGGAATTGCATCGCAGGCCGTGGGGTAGTTGCAGAAACAAAGGGCCTATTGGGAGAAGATGGGTTGTTTGTGGCCTTAAATGCAATTAGTGAATCTATAAAAAGTTTGGACAAGACCGTTTTGGATGGGGCAGAGACTTGGGTTTCAAGAATGCTCAATGCACTGCAGACTACAGATAGAGTTCATTCCATTGCTGGGTCACATACTTTTGGGATTTATGAGGCAACTGATTTTGGATGGGGAAGACCAATGAAGATCGACTTCGTTTCGATAGACAGGACAGGGGCTATCTCCTTTTCAGATAGCAAGAATGGTGCTGGTGGTGTTGAGGTTGGGCTGGTTTTGAAAAAACATTATATGGAGGCTTTTGCTTCTCTATTTGCGAGAGGTCTTGAAGACCTTTGAAGCCATCTTTGGTATTCTGCAACAGTTGGTTTGAACAAAAGTACCTTACTTCTCTCTGTGTTTATGATGCATCTTTATTTTTCTTCTTGCAATTGAAATTACAGATTCTGTATGAATTTCATGAATCACAGCTCATGTTCATTTGAGTATTTCATATATTCCATTTTATCATATAAAAAATTGCTGGGAGCTGCAAAGGTTATATGTGACTGAAGTCTGAATTAAGGCTCCATAATTTTAATTTATGATGAAAATAGATAGGGGAAGCCATTGCAATGAGCTCCACAGGAGCATTACATTGGATCAGTGTTCTTGATCTGAAATATTCAACCATTATCATGAAGTCATGTGCTTACATCTGCAGAGAAAACCTGCGGCCTCCCATGCTGCAGACAAAAGATCCAAGTAATGGGGCTTGATATATATCACACTGACAGATTTACACATTGTTACAAAATCCCTGGAGCTTATTTTTTATTTTTATGAAGATATCTTTTGTCAGCAAAATGTCGTATACACGTGATTTTGGTTGGTCACCAAACATAAAAAAAGCCTGGGATTTTAATGATATAAGCATGTCCCACAACACATGATTGGTCAATCACCTAAATTAACTTGAAAGCTAAAGACTATTAGTATAGAGCCCTATTCTTATTATAACTAAGCGCCAAACTTTTATTTTCTCCAATAATATATTTGTCTACATGACTTTTCCTGCCATTCAGTAGACTTCAACATCAAATAATAATGTAAAATATATTGGATGTTTATATTTGTTATTGGTACTCTGAAGGGTTATTTAGTACTCCTCTTCTGTAAATATATAAGAAGCAAATTACGTTTAGAATGGTGCGTGATGACTGTTTCAGATTGACAATAACGATATTAAATTAAATTTGAAAGTGGAGATAATTTGCAAAAACCCTTTATATATGTTTGTAATATTAATTTTAGAATTGCAAATGGTGAACTACTAGCTCAACAAGCAGACATGGGCTTAATCAAATTGACTAGAGCGGATGTACTCCTTACTATGTACCCAAGTTCAAATTCTCCTTCGTTTAGATTAAACTAAAGTAGAATATCGTTTTTTTATATAAAATAATAAAAACCACTAGCTCAACAAAACATCCAAAATTCAATTTTTGTAAAACAAAAAAGCAAAAGAAAAAAACTTTTAAAATTTCACCAAAAACCCTAAAAGAGAAAAGAAGAAAAACTTGACCAGGTGTTAAAAAAAATAGGTTACTTGACCCAATCTGTGCACCCCTTGGTGTGAATTGCATCAGAGTTCGCTGTTAGCTTTCTTTCTCAGACGCTTCTTTATTTCGTGCGCCAACTGTTCGTCTTTCCCTCTCTCTCGCTCTCAGTCTCTCACTTACTCTTCTTTGGTGAAGCACAAGGTACCCTACCATCTCATCGTTCCCAATCTCTGTCTCTAGCAAAGCTATAGCATTTCATAAAGGGTACTTTTTTGGCATTCATTTCTTTGATTTTTTCCATGTACTATTCATTTAATGGGTTCTTTAGCACCCTTATTGTTGATTTTTTTAGGTTGTATTTTGGTCTGTCTTTTGAAAGCTATTTTCTTCTTTATTATTAGTGTTCAAATGTTTACTTTTGTTTGTGTGATCAAGCATTATACAGGTCGTAGAATTAATTTAATGAATTTTGTAACTTTAAGCTCGCCGGCTCTGAATGTTGGGCTGATTATGTATTGATTTATCATTCTATCTAATTTTCTGAGATGGGTTTTGTTTATTTTGTGGTATGAGGTTGGTTTAGGGTTTAGGTCTTGAGCTTTGCTTGGTCTGAATCCAAATAATGTGGTGCTGTTGCTTCGAGGATCTAAGTTTTTGCAAGTTATTGTGCCAACTTTTTTGAATTTACCTAAATATTCAGTACTCACTAAAGCAGATTATGTGGTTCCCAGTTTTATGGAATATCATTTTAATTTATTGTGCTTCTAGGGTTTTTCTCAAAATGTGGTTGTTTCATTTAACCAGCTCTCTCTCTCTCCCTTGTCTCTGAGGTTTTCTTTAGAAGAAAATGTAGCAGTATTTCATATCGCTAATTCCTCCATGTTCTGTTTCCATGCAATGTAATCGAAATTGGTACATAGTTTTGTGGTGCTAGTTTCCTACTCTCTTTTGCAGTTGTTACTTTACTTTTGGGATAATTCTTTCCCTGATCTAGGGATGAAGGGCTAGTTTTAAGCATGGGTTCTTTGTGTCTTCGATTTTGTAAAGTCAAATACATTATATGTGCCTAGAGCTATATTGCTAACTCACTGCACCTTGGTGTTTTGAATTAATTATCTTCCATTTATTGGTTTAAAGAAATATTGAGGAATTGTTTAGTAGTGTTTCATTTCTCAGTCTTTTGGCAGAATGGCCTTGCAGACATCAATTCCTCCACCGACTCCCAGTGCCCAACTTGTTGGAAATGCTTTCATTGAGCAGTATTACCATATTCTTCACAATAATCCGGGCCTGGTCCATAGATTTTATCAGGATTCAAGTGTTCTAAGCCGGCCTGATTCCAATGGTGTGATGACATCAGTGACCACTATGGAAGTAAGTTTTCTTTTGGGTGTCATTTCCCATGGTCGATTACTTGGTTCTACTTTTCGTGAAGCAATAACGTTTAGACAAATATGCTATAATCATCAAGGAGTACATTAAATAAACAAATGTATGTTGGTGATTCATATAGGCAGTTCTATTGTTAGATGTTTAGGATTCTCTATGGTCCACAGGTTGTTTACCTCATTATTCACACATGATATTTTTTAGTTTGAATTTATCTGTTGCATTTTTGGTTTTTTTTTTTTTTTTTTTAATACTTATTTGAGTGTATAGTCCTGTATGATTCTGCCATGCTCTTAAATCCTCAGAGATATGGTAATTTTAGGTCTCAGTTATGCTCTGAATCATATAGTCACTACAATTTCAGGTGATTTCCTCCTTATGTTCTTTGTTTATCGAGTACCCTAGATAGCGAATACATAGATTAGATGGTCGATGTCAGAATACTGGTATTACTGGCACTTCTTGAATATGCGACTGCTTGGCACTTGAACATACTGGATATATTGTTTTTTAAAGTGTTTTTGGACTCAATATCCATAAGTGGTTGTGCTCAAGTAGCCAAATTCACATAAATGGAAATCTGTACACAAATTTTTCTTCTTTTACCATTTTTGTTTTATTTGATAACGATGATATTATCTTGAAGGTTTCAAGATCACTAATTAACATATTTTGAATATTAATTATTATGAGCATTACCTGCTGCAAGGACATCACAATTTTTTTTTTTGCCCCTCAATTTTTTGTTCGAGTAGGGAATCAATGAGAAGATCCTTTCCTTAAATTACAACGAATATAAGGCTGAAATAAAGACCGCTGATGCTCAGAAGTCTTATAAGGAAGGGGTGACTGTGTTAGTTACTGGATGTTTAACGAGCAAGGATAACTTGAAAAGGAAATTCGCCCAATCATTTTTTCTTGCCCCTCAAGACAATGGGTTCTTTGTATTGAACGATGTCTTTAGGTTCGTAGAAGATGGAGAACTGTTTGAAAACCATTCAGTTAATGGAGTTAATGATGCCACAACAGTCCTTTCAAACCAAGATCCTGGTAACCTATCTTACCTTTTTCTTGTTCTTTTTTGTTAGTCTAGTCTTTATATTGCACCAGGATCTTGTTGCACTTCTTATTGTTTGTTTACAGAGCCAAATCATGTTCCTGATCCTCCTGCACCCGATCTGGAAACTACTCAAGTTGAAGAGAATCAAATTGGTATTGAGAAAGCTTATGACACATCAGACCATGAGAGACAATCAGCTAATGAGAAGGAGTCTGATGCTGAACCCCCATCTTATTCAAATGGGAACGATGTCCCTGTGGCAGTCGAGCCCACGTCTACTACAGCCCAAGAGGATGCTCCAAAAAAGTCATATGCATCAATTGTGAGTTAACGGACACAAATTTCTCCTTAGCCAGAATTGTTGTTGAAATAGTAATAGAAGTTCATGGAATGTTTTGTAGGTAAAAGTTCCCAAAGGGAGTCCAGGACCAAATAAGGTTTATGTGCCTACTAATACTGTAAGAGTGGCTCCTAAGAAAGCAGAGAATAATTTACCTGCATCGGCTCCACCTGCTTCTGTGCCTGAAGCATCAGCGCCAACTAGCACTAGTACCCAAGAGAGTAATGATACTAATGAGGAAGGTATGCTTGGCTTTTCTGAATTTTCTCCCTTTTTATTCTCTTTATATTTGCAAGTTTCCATTTGAAAATCTACATATAACTGAAATATAATCTGTAAATTTGCATTTATCTGAATTTAGTCATCTAATTGCTTTTCTATAATGACAAAATTGCATTTATTGTAGTTGAGGGTTATTCTGTTTACATAAGGAATTTGCCCTTAAATGTGACGGCTGATCAGCTTGAGGAAGAATTCAAGAAATTTGGACCAATAAAGCAAGGAGGTATCCAAGTTCGAAATAAGAAGGTTAGTCTCTAATGTGAGATGTCTTCCGTGCCAGAAGTGTCTCCTGCTCAGATATAGATTTTCTGACATATTTGTGTGTGCAGCTGCAGGGATACTGTTTTGGATTTGTTGAGTTTCTGTCTGCAAGTTCCATGAATAGTGCCATTCAGGTAGGTCTTTAACGTCTATTTCCTATGTTCTGTATTCAAGTTCCATGAATAGTGCCATTCATGAATAGTGCTATAGGATGTGGATGCTGCTGTATTAATAATTTCCATTATTCTATCTGCCTCGTCAAAATCAAGTCATTCTGATTTGAACAATGTGAATAGGATATGGCAATTCTTTCTTCCATGGTCCTCTGCCTTGTCCTGTGGTACACTGTTGAGCCAAATTTTAGAGGTTCTTTTATCTTATCTGATGGGTAAATAATCTTCATAGCATGTTAGTCTAAGGCTCTAAACACGTGTATTGAGTTGTCATAGTTTCTTACTTTAAAATAAATTTCATCACTAAAGTTTCTAGAGTGCCTGTAGAACTTCCAGTCGTAATTTGTTTATATATTATTTCTGATATTTGATTGGGATTTCTTGTGTATCTAATAAGAAAGACTTAATGTTTCAGGCTTCACCCATCAGTTTTGGTGGCCGTCAAGCTGTCATCGAGATAAAGAGAACGACCACTCGAGGTAAGGCAAAAGTGTACGATTTATACAGTTCTCCTTCATTAATTTAATAAATGTGTTATTTTGAAGATATTTAAAAAGCTCATGCAAGGAGAATCCTCTCCAAAAAAATGTAAAAAAAAAGCTCATGCAAGGAAATGCTCCTAAATTTCTAAACATTTGATGACACTGCTTAAGTTTGGATTACTAAGCTTCATAAGTATTATTTTAAGGACATTTCTTTCCATGATGCTGGTTTTTCCAGTTGGTAGCAGTGGAAGAGGTAGGTTTCCTCCTCCTGGAAGGGGAGGGTTTCGGAGTGACAGCTTTAGAGGCCGTGGTAATTATGTTGGTGGCCGGAGCTTTGGAAGAAACGAGTATGGGAACAGGGGTGAATTCTCAAGCCGAGGCAGGGGTCCAGCTGGGCGTGGTGGAGATGGTTATCAGCACGGGAGAGGGAGAGGTGGCCGTCCAAGTGGAGTACCAAAACAGAATGCTGTTTCTGCGTAGAGCTAATAGAATGCGTAGTGAGATTTCTTTTTTGTGGGAATATTTTAACAAAATTGATTTCATGATTGGTGCACTTGGAAGTGTTGGTAAGTACTTTAATCATAACTTATGAGAGAGAGAGAGGGGGAGAGGGAGAGGGAGAGAGAGAGTTGAATTGGATTAACTTTGAGATGAAGAGGCGTTTGCTGTAGGTTAGGATTTATTTTACCATTACAGAATTTTGTCTCAATTGGGTATCATGTAATTGTTCAGAAACTTCAGGCCATCCTCATGTTTTAACAGAAACTTCTGAGATTACTATGATGGAGTTTGCACAGTCGTAGTGTCTTTTCTTCTTTCTTTTTTTGGGTTCTCTTTTCTGATCAGAATAGCTGTAGTGTCTAGTAGCTGTAATCCGAAGATCCTAACACTTTAATAGATGGTAGTTTTGGGGTTATACTTGAATTTTGAATGCATTCTCCATTTGGTTGTTTGGTTTGAAATTTTGAATTTCTTCATCTTCATTTATCCTTGTGCTATAATACGAGCAAACAACAATTAGGTTTTATCAATAATTTGTGTTGGGCCAAAATTAAAAATTTCTTGCCAACCAGAGTTGTGGTGGCTTCCCCCTCCCCCCATGGCACCGATGGCACCCAAGATCGAAACCCTAGAGTGGGTTGTCTTTCCTCCCAATGTAATAAAAAAAAAAATTTAAAACTTTGTTTATCTACAAAGGATTCACTAGTATAGTAGTTTTAAGTTATTATTCCCTCAGGCAAGGTTCTGGATTCGAGTCCTAACATCCTCGTTGTGTAAATTTAATATATTATTGTCCATGTTAATAGGAAAGATTCTATTTTTTTAAAAAAAAATTAAAATTATTTTATCTAATTTGATGCTTTTGAAAGATAACTAGGTATCCCCCCAAAAGAAAAGGATATTTTTAAAAATATTGACAAAATAATATCTCCTAATCATCCAATCTTTATCATATCATTATTTTTAATCAATCGCTCTGACAGGACGCGTGCGTACGACACGCGAAGTGTCATCTTTACTTTTCCCCATGGGCCCGAATCCACTGTGATATCTTCTCCCTGTACACGTTGTCCCGCAACTTGGCTTCGCTGTCTCCATCCATTCCTATATGAACACGCCCCCCCTCCTAACTGCATGTCGACACGTGGCGTGTACTATGATGCCTTACAGTCTTCATCTGATAAAAAGAGGAAAAAGAAATGTGCAAGTTGGCCCTCTTGCTTTCTCTGTTGGGGTCCACACCTGACACCTCATCTCCCTTTTGTGTTTCATCACCTCCCTCAAGTCTTCCGGGGATGCTTCTGCCTTGTCTACCTTAATTCACATGCATTATTGTCACATTTTTTTTATAATTAATTAACTTGTTTATCATTTTTGCTTTTGCCAAAAAATTTGATTGTCTTACTTAATTTCATACTAGCCATGCCCGCACAAGGGGATATAATTGTAATTGCAAATTTTGTACAAGTGGGTTTATAACTTATTCTATTCGGATCTCAATCTGCATGAACGATTATTAATTGTTAATGTGAACGATTTGTTATTGTCCGTTGTTAATGGTTTAGTAACTCTCCTCCCCATAATTCGATGGTCCCTAAAAACATTTGATTGAGAGAACTCATCCAAATAAGATTTTAATGAATTAGGTTAATTCTGCTTAAATTAGCAACCGTGCTCCTTACAGAGCGAGTAGCATTCCAATCCACACTCGCGACGACAATATTCTCCTCTCGGAAACGAAAGGAAAAGACTCTGACCCGGATCCCCAGGCGTCATCCACGTGGCGCACTCTGGGAGCGTCAGTTTTCCTCGTTCTGGAATCCAGCTCGTTTAGAGATGTGATAGATATTACGGAAGTGGATAGAGCGAATTGCGGCTCTACTCTCTTCGCTACGACGACGAGGAGATATTTGGGCGACGTGGCAACCTGTCAGATCCCGCATCTCCCGTGTGACACGTGTACTCTGGGAACCCAATCCAAAGAACCAAAGAGTTGGCGACGCCTGTTCGGCGTGTCCTTCAGATCTGCGTCTCTATAAACCACGTGCTTGTCGGGGCTCTTCATGTCCGCCACGTGTCGGGTGTCTACGACTTCCAGGGGCTTTTTCGGTATTGCACTTTTCTGTCTTCTGCAGCCAAAAAACTCATTTTTTAATTTTTTTTTTCTTCCCCTGTATTTTTTTTTTCGCTCCTAGTCTATATGGTTTTTCCTCTTCTGCGAAAATGCTTCTCATGGGGTCATTGACGTGCGTTTCAATTTTCTTCTGCTTTATGTTCTTCGTTGTTTGGTACAACTGATGGCTCTTCTCTCTGTTTCTCTGAGAAGTTCATGGCGAGAAAGTGGAAGAAAATGTAGGCTTTATGCTGCAGTATTTGGTTGGAACAAGCTTGGAATTAGTATTCAGAGAAAAACATAGGATAAAGTTACCAATTTCTCAGCTTCCTTGGATTTTCTGCTGAATTCTACTTCCTGGTTTTAAAAAAGATTATTATTTTTTCATCTGGGTACCTCTTAATTTGAGCAATCTGGTTTGGATTCTGGCGTTCTGCAATTTTTTTTTTCGATGGCGCAAACAGAGGAAGGTGGAAACAGAGCAACCCAACAGGTGTTCTCAATGCAAGTGAGTAATTTTCCGGGAGATCTGCTGAGGAAAATAGTTTCCGGGAATGATTTTCCTGGAAAATTCGAGGAGCCAACCCAAGATTCTGAGGAGATTGAGCTAAGCCTCGGGCTTTCATTGAACGGTCGATTTGGGGTGGACCCAAGAGCCAAGTTACTGCCACTCAAACGCTCGTCGTCAATCCCTGACTTCGCGTCGACCCCAGCAAGAGACGAGGACACGACATGTCGTGTATCTGCGCCGTGCATGGTGCCTCTGATGAGGACTTGTTCTCTGCCTACGGAAACAGAGGAGGAGTGGAGGAAGAGGAAGGAGTTGCAGAGCTTGAGGAGAATGGAGGCGAAGAGAAAGAGGTCGGAGAAGCAGCAGAGGAATTTGAAGGTGCCCAGAGATCGGAGCAGAGAGAACTTTGAGGAAGATAGGAGAGGAGGAGAAGCCATGAATGGGGCTCAAAGTTATAGACAAGAGCAGTTTGTGAAGGTGGTGGATGAGTTTAGAGCTATGGGGATCCCCACTTGGGTATCTGGTGATAAGGGTAATTGTCCGGTTCCTCCACCGCCAGCATCTCAGAGCACAATTGGGTCTCAAGGAAGTGGCTCATCTGGGATTTCAGAATCTGAGAGCCATGCTGCTGCTGCTGCTCAAGGTATTTTCATTTCAATTTGAGATTATTGGTTTCAGCTGTTTTCTCTGTGTGTGTGTGTTTTATTTTGTTGTTGAACATTAATTTTCTATGATTTGTGTGAATCATATCTCACCTTGAAATTGGAAAAATTGGATGCTTTAGGCAGGTTTTCTAGTAGGATTTTGATTCATGTTATGTAGTTTGTAAATGATTGTGTGGTGAATGCCATATAAGTAGACCGGATGGCTCAATTCGAAAACACGGTCTTTAGATTTGGAACTGGCCAAGAATATTATCTTTATAACCTATAGATTTTGCGTTTGTAGGAGAATGTCAGTCTCATCGTGCTTTGAGAATTCCCCTTCTATGTTTTTGACGTTTTTAAATGAAACAGAAACGGCAAGCCACTCTTGAGAGTTCTGAATTGCCTCCCCCAATGAACCAATTTAGTGCGTGCTTCTAGCCATGTTGTAAGGGGTTCATGTGTAACCAAGCGAGTACACGCTGGTCCAGTAATTGATGTGCCCCAAACATGTGTTCAAGTGTTCTGTTGAGTAAGAACTGATCTAACTTTAAATACTCTGTAGCCTAAATTTTCAATGGGTACCTCATGATAATGATAATGTTTCTTTTACGTGGAATTCTAGATTAGGTGTGTCGTGTGAGTGACACTGTTTAGGGGCCTTTGACATTCAATAGAGGGCAGTTCAACCATGCTCTCCCAGATCCCTCTGTATTGCTTTACTGCCCCCAACACCAATGCTCCTTATCGTCGATGATGTAATAGACTCACTTGATGTTTTGTCTCCCAGTTTTCTCATGCCATGCCAGTGGACTCGCGTATCATTTTATGGAAACATAGAATCTGTTAAAAGCTATTTTATGTTCTAGTGTCAAAGCTCTTGTGCCCCTCTGACATTTTACCTTTTGATGTGCAGGAGTGCACAAATGCACTGAACCAAGAAGCCATGCCAATGCTCAGTCTTCTCCAAAAGTGACCCCTCGAATGATAACCACTGAAAGATCAGGTCAGTTCAACGGAGTCCAAATGGAAATTAACTGTGATAAACCCACAGTTCCAGAAAAAGGAGCCAACGACATTGTGAGGAATGTGTTGGAAAATATGCCTTGTGTGTCTACAAAAGGAGATGGCCCCAATGGGAAAAGAATAGAAGGGTTTCTTTACAGGTACAAGAAGGGTGAGGAAGTGAGGATAGTATGTGTTTGTCATGGCAGCTTTCTCTCTCCCGCGGAGTTTGTGAAGCATGCCGGCGGTGGTGATGTAGCACACCCTTTGAAGCATATAGTAGTCAATCCATCTCCGTTTTTGTAGTTGTAGTGCCCTTGTAGATCATGTCAAAACCTTTTATCTAAGGACGAGGGAGAAAGTGGAGAAGATCCATCAATGTTCCTTCCTTTTACCTTTTTCCTTTTCCTTTTCTTTTGTTTATTTAAATTTGTCTTTCAATGGGACTGATGGGCACTTGTATTGAATTCGGTACATGAAGCCTTGTGTTGGAAGGTTATAATGATTATAACTAGAGGAGACAGGTCGTTGCATGTTAATTTTTGTTGAGTCATTTATTTTGTTTAATTCGTGGCAATGATGCGAGGAAGTGGAATATAAGGTAACCGAGAGTTTCGAAAGTAAGGGATTTATCTCTGTGGAGCAAAGAAGGTTGGTTGCCTACTGTTCTGGTTTTGTCTACCTACCAGTTAGGTTATCTGCAGACGCCGATTGAGGAGATGAAAACAATGACCTTGTTTGCATTACTCTAATGGAGTTGCTTGTTAACTACCCAAATAAACTTGACGTGGACGGCGAAACCACCAACAATTATTGTAATCGAAAGGGGAAAAAATAAGTTCAATACAGTTGTACATGGAAGAAATTGTGGAGGCCAGACTGAAATTATAGGATGGGATAGCATCTTTCTTTGGTAGGAAGCTCACATGGGTAGGAATTTCAACTCATCACATAACAGATCAATAAGTTGGCCTCACCAAACACTTCAGAGCTTACTTTACAGAAAACCTAATTTGCTCTTTTTATTGAACAAATAAGGCATTCATATACACACGTATAAAACAAGGAACATAAATATCTGTATGATGCAGCAGGTTCATCTGCGAGGCCCCTGAAACAATTGATGGCGCTTCTCTTTCTACAGATTACTAATGTTGACCAATATATGACAAGGCTCACGAAGCACCTAACAAGACGGGGGCAGAAGTTGCTTAACCCGTAGTTCGATCTGCTTCACTTACAGGTCTTTACAGGCGAGAGTCGACCGTACACACAACTAACAAGACTAGAACTTCCTTAAAAAATCATCAAGGGGACCTGCATCATCTCACAACGCAGCAGTAAATAAATTTATTTGCACGGCCTTGTTGAAGAAGAATCTACAGTTGATGAAGCTGCCATCTGTTCGTCTGGCCTGGAAGCAAAGGTTGAAATGGTATCATAAGCAAAGTCCAAATCTCTCCATGCAAAGTCAAGAAACATCTATTATGACCATACTTCAAACTTGGAAGTTCAAACATAGTTTATCCAATCTCATTAATCAAAACATGGTAATAACAAAGAGAAAAAGAATCAGGACTTTACCTCTAATATCATCCCCTCCTATAGAAACTGCTAGCACCTGTATGATAACTATCCTCCACTAAGTTCTTGAGGCCAGAATGATTGCAGAATGACAAGCAGATATCGAATTGGATATCATTTCCTTTGACAGGAAGTTCACATGGCTAATCATATAACAGATATGAATAAGTTGGCCACAGTAAACACTTTAGCCAATACTTTCCAGAAAATATATCTACTCTGCTTTATTGAACAACAAATGAAGCTGAATATACACGTATAAGACGAGGAAATGAAACATCTGCATTCTTCTGCAGACTCATTGGCAAGGCCCCTAATAAGAGAAACAACATCAAAAAAAATTGGGGGCAGAACTATTTTACAATGTACAAGTGGGATCAATAAGGTTTAGAAATCAACCTAAGGCCAGTCCCAAAAGAGGACTGAGTGCACAAGCACATATTACAATGGCGCTTCTCTTTCTACAAACTACTAATGTTAACCAATACAAGCCTCATAAGGCAGCTAACAAGATGGAGGCTGAAGCTGCTTAAGTCTTCGTACAACTTGCCTCATCGTAGGCCTGGTCGAGAGAGAGTCAACCGTACACACAACTGCCAAGTGTAAAACTTCTACCAAATCATCATGGGGACCTGCATCCCATAGCCCAGCAGTAAAGAATTCCTTTGCACGGCCTTGTCGAAGAAGCATACATGACCACTGAACAATGTTGAATCCATTTCCATATGAAGAAAATGAGGGATCCAGAGCTTTCTTGTCAGAGAGCAACTCCAGAAGCACAACACCATAACTATACACATCAGCCTTGTCTGAAACGCGGCAAGTCATCGCATATTCTGGGGCAACATATCCAAAAGTTCCAGCTACACCAGTAGTAGCATGGGTTTCTGAAGTTCCAAGAAGTCTGGCCAAACCAAAGTCAGAGAGATAAGCATTGAAATCATCATCCAACAAAATATTACTGGGCTTGACATCGCGATGAAGGACACGTGGTACACACTGATCATGTAGGTAGGCAAGTGCACGAGCTATGTCCAAAGCAATCTTGTGAAGTATCCTCCAATCCACAGCCCTTGTAGACCTTTCCTTAATAAATTTTTCCAGATTACCACCCGCCAAATAATTATATATTAGGAACATCTCTGTATCACTGGCATGATAACCAAGCAAAGTGACAAGATTTGGATGGCGAAGCCTTCCAAGAGTCTTAATTTCTGCATGAAATTGTTGAACTCCTTGAAACCTTCCAACTGAAAGTCGTTTTATTGCCACCAGGATTCCAGGAGATATCTCTGCCTTGTAAGTTGCCCCAAAACCTCCATTCCCAATGCAGTTGCTAGCATTGAAACTGCCCGTGGCTCGCACAACACTCTCAAAGGTCAATGGAACCCCAATGTTTGTGAAAACTGTAACTTCCTTCCTGGTAGACCCTAGAGCTCCAGACTTTGCATTCCACTTTCGTGTATACAAGAACAGAACAACCAGAGCAAGAAGCACTGAAACTATGGCTGATGCAGATGTAATGGAAGCTATCTCAATTGAATTGAAATTCCCACTCCTTGAAGCTGGAACTCCCACCGGTGAAGCAGCATAAGGTTGTGAATCACCATCTCTTCCTTGAGAATCTGAAGATGGTTGTGTCAGAGAAAACATGGGGCAAGAATGTATATATGGGTTTCCAATAGCAGCATTGCATTTCATCAGGTTATTATTTGAAGGCAATGAACCGGAAAAGTTATTGAAAGACACATTGAAAGAAGAGAGTGCAGTCACATTTGCCAAACCAGATGGAATCTGACCAGAAAGATTATTTTTGTCCAGCAGAAGAACAGTCAGATTTCCCAAGTTCACAAGATCCTTCGGTATCTCACCGGTGAGATAGTTTGAAGAAAGCTCCAGCACTTCTAAAGAGTAAAGCTGCCCCAAACTAGATGGAATGGTACCTGTAAGGTTATTACCAGATAAGGACAGATACCTCAGATCCCTTATCTGGCCAAGACTGGTGGGGATCTGACCCTGCAACATGTTCCAACTCAAGTTAAGGGCAACAAGGGACACCAATTTCCCAAAAGTAGGGGGAATGGGACCAATAATCTGATTATATAGCTTGTTGTTACTCACATTAACAACCAATGAATCCAATCCCTCACACTTCCCAAACAAACTACCTGGAAATGTTCCAGTAAGCTTGTTTTCTCCAACAAGGAATGCATAAAGAGTTTGCTTCCCTAATCTTTCATGCGCAATAGGCAGTGACGGCAAAGTGCCAGTAAAATTATTGTGCCCAAAGTTGTGCAGTACTGTAAGACCATCATCTTCTCCATACAGTTGCAACGGGTTTCCAACTTGGGTTTTCGATGCAAAAAATGCTACATAGGGTGAGGAAGGATCATCATCTTTGAAAGAAAAATCTTTCAAGGGATAAACTGGAGCACAAGGGCTGTTAAAATATTCAGGTATTGAACCTGACAAGATGTTTCCACTGACATCAAACATAACCATACAAGGAACCTGAAGATCCTGAACAAGCTCCCCACTAAGCCTGTTAGAGCTTACATCAAAAAATTGAAGCTTCCTGCAGCGACTAAGCCCACTAGGAATTTCCCCAGTAAAAAAGTTCTGAGCCAAATTGATCATTTCTAAGTACTCACAACCACCCCAATTGCCCGGGAAGTTGCCCTCAATACTTGCCCTTGGTGCCCACAAGATCCTTAGCTTTGGAAGGGTCGTAATTTCCACAGGCATTGCACCTTGAAAGTAATTGAAGTCGTCATTCATAGAATTCAACTGCTCCAATAAAGAGTCCACTACTGTATCATTGACTCGTGGTAGCGGATTAAACATAGACGACAAAACAAGGACAGACAACTCAGAACAATTCCCCAACTCTCGTGGTAATGAACTACTTAGGCTATTCCTTGACACATCCAACACTTCCAGCGCCTGAAGCCGGCCGAGTTCTGCTGGAATACCCTCTTCCAACATATTTGAGTACAACATCAGCGTCCTCAACTGACTGCAATTTCCTAAACTGCTTGGAATTTTATCAACCAAGAAATTACCCGCCAATTCAAGATGCTCCAGCTTCCCACAATTGTCTCCAATCTCGCTGGGAACATCCCCACTAAGTGAATTGTACGACAAATACACAGCCTTTAACCTACCAATGAAACCCGGAATGGTCCCATTCACAAGATTCCCAGCTACATTCAAGATCTCTAAGCTCACAAATTTTGACCACGAGGTCGGTATCCCACCTTCAATCATATTGAACCCAAGATTAAAAACCCTCAGATTTGGATTAAGCTGAAACGGCAGAGACCCAGTTATCGAGTTGCCCTCAAGATCAAGAACCTCCAAATTTTCCAAGCCCAAAACTTCACTAGGAATTTCACCATCCAAATCATTGAAGGGAAGCGACAAGACCCTAAGCTCAGTGAGCTTCCCAATTACAGAGGGGAGCTTCCCAGACAACCTTCCTCTACTACCCGAACAGCTCCTCCGAATTCCAAACCCATAAAGCGGAAACTGAGCAAAATCTAAGCACGCAATAGATTTTGATCCACCTTCGCCACCTCCACTATTCCCAGTAATGTTGAGCGCAACCACCTGAGAATTTGAATTGCAGAAGACGCCGAACCATGAGCAGTGACCAGAATTGACCGAATGATTCCAGCTGGAAAGCAAGCCTGACGGGTCTGAGACCGAGTTCTTGAGCTGGAGGAGCACCGATGCGTCAGTATCAGCATCAGCGAAAACGACGCCGTTCAGAGAGGCGCAGAAGACCCATAAGAGCAACACGAGCTTCAGAACAAGCCCTGGCGAAGTGGATTTGCGAAAAAACTGCTCTTTGGTGACTGAAGAGGACGAAGGGGAAATACCCATCTCTTGAAACTATGACAGCTAAGTGGGTCTCTACGAAAATTACATGAACAACGCACAATGTCAGCATAAAGCTCGAAAAGAAGGAAATAGCTTAAGAATATAATCATTTGGAATGAATTAAATTCTTACCCCTTCAGCTAGACTATCTACAACTGTCAGTAGTTTGACCCCTTCTCGCTCTTACATGAATGTTGGACTTGGGTGGCTTTATCCAATCGACAGGGCCATTTTCATTCCCATTACCTTCGTTTCGCTTGCACCCGCTTGCAGTTCAGTCACCTGTACGGACACAAAGATCGCTCTTTAACTAATGCTGTACTGTGTACTCAACAATTTAGAAGCTGAACTAAATCGAAATCGGAAATTGGGTAAATTTGACATTTTGTATGTACCTTTGTAGCAGTAGGAGATGGGGATGGTGCCAAATTCCGTTGCCTTTTCCTTTGGGAACTGTTTTTCTTATCTTGAAATTGAAATCGAATAAAAGGAAGCTAACAGCCCGGTTTCCCTATTTGGATTTCGCTCAAAGACTCTGGATTCCTCTCGGAAATTGGGCAATTCATGTCGATCCTGCAGCAGAGAAAAGGGTCTTCGAAACCCAAGAGATCAAAACCCCAAAACCCCTTTCTTCGAGCTGCAGCACAGAAAGAGTAAAAGGGGTTTATGAAAACCCTAACCCTAATTTCGTTGGTACTACTGATGAGAGAGAGAGAGAGAGAGAGAGATAAAGGAGACGGAGGAAGAGAGAGAAGACTCAAGTCATTCAACTGTGTTCTTTTGAGAAGAAAACGCGTTCTTCTTTTCTTTTTTCTATTTCATGTTTCTTCCTCTTCTTCTTTGCTTTTCCTTTTTTTTTTTTCAATTTATAAAAAAAAAGAAATTCTTTACATTTTAAGGGTTTTGTCGTATATGGTGGGTGCTGGGGTCCACAAGACATACATTTTTAGGGGGGTGGGCTCCACAGCCGGTCAATAAATGCATCAGACCCTTAAGTCAATTGAGAGGGAGGGAGAAGCTCTTGGGCTTAGTTGAGTGTGAGAGAAAGAGACAGAAGGGTTAAAAGAAGGAAAAAAGATTCCTCAAAGCTTCTGTACACGCGGCTGCAGAGAAAGGAATCCACGTGGGATGTCCTTCCAGAAGGGGTGAAGTGGGGCCCACCAGCCTTATGATGGTGTTGGTTGGGTCTACTCTAGTGTTCATGAGGTCCAGATAAGAAAAGGGACCTGTACTGTTCTCCACTGGGATTTGGCTGCCGGCTGCCCCTCTCACTCAGAGTCTATGATTGATTAATGGGATTTAATTTGGATACTTCTAGCTCGGAATGCGATTGATGCCTACTACTTTCACTAGATAATATGGAAAATTGGGAACTTTGGACTTCATTTTACTAGGAAGACAAACACAGATAATCATTTTGTTAAATTCATTTGTATGGATAATTAAGAATCACTCGCGTAAAATGAAGAGTTATTAACACAAATAATTATTTTGTTAAATTCTTTTGTATGGACGGTTATGAATCACTCACGTCTACGCGAGTGATTGTATTTCAAAATAATGTGTGTTTTAAGTTCAAATTGGAAGTTGTACAAGAAGGGTAGAGAAGTGTATGATGCGTTCCATCTAATTGGTAAACTAGGGGCATTCGCATCATCACCTGTTAACTTGTGTGTGTCTTTTAGGGTTACATAAGAATTTATGCTGAGGCACACATGATGTTCTTGTACTCGGCAAACTGCAAAAGTGACGTATATATATATGCTGTGCAGAAGGAATATATGCTATACTTACGAGAATCAAAACAATTTAACCCTAAGCAAATAAATTTTTTTGATCACTTACTGTGTGGTAGAGATTGATGCTGCTTATTTATTACAAGAATAATTAAGATACTCAATCGTAATCAAATCCCATACTTAAAGGATTATGGATAGTTTGCTGATATTGTGTCCCTTATAGCGTGAGTAATATTATATACGGGTTTTATTAGTTGTTTGAGAAGATCCATTGCCTGATTTGTAAGTTTTTATGAATAGTATGAAACTTGGAGCAATTAAGAGTGCTATATTTCGTGGACATGACGTGAGTTAGGACAGTTAATCAAGATAATATGTTCGTCTTCTTCACTAAGTTTGATTCTCCTCTCTTGTAAATTATAACAATTTAGACTATTACTAATATAAAATGAAAATTACAAAAAATGCTACATTTCAATTATCATAGTGGGCATGGCATGGATGCACGCATAGCTTTAGCCTATTGAAAAGCAACTAATTATAAAAATCTAGCCTTTCCGGCATCCAGACAGGATGCTTTAGCTCTCTCTCTTTTGTCACATACCTAAACAGAAAGTTCTCATCTCACCTCACCTCATTGCTCATAAGAAAAGCCAACTTGACAAATTGAACATGTTGTAGTTTACATAATCCTGACGTAAGAGTGACGTTTTCTAATTAACATGCATAGTTAAACTACGGTTAGCTAGCTTACTATAGGTTTTGCTGTGCTGGTGTGCCCCTTAGCTTTTGCTTATATTTGCAGATCATTTCTTAGAGATAGGATAGGATCCAGATTTGAATCAATTCAAGGCCCAGATCAACCAACCAGCAGCTTTTACTTTGGGGAACCAAAGGCATGAGCTTTTGCTCCTTACCAAACTGGCTGCCTAAACAGGAATAAAGCAACTTAAAAACTTAATAGGTTGGCTGTTAGATACCCAATTTTTGTATAGTTTACCACATTCTGAATTCTGATTTCTAGACCTTGTTTCAATTGCCATCATCAAATTATTGTATTTCAAGCAGATTCAGGTGATGTGTCAGATGCAACAAATAGGCACCAAACCAAAGAAATGGCTAACAAGAGTCAGATTTTGCAATATTGAAGATACATATTAAGCAGAATTAGTGTTGAGTGCAAACCAATTTCTCCAACATATACATATACCGTATACGTATGTCTGTACATCAGTTTTGAAACCACATCTACCATTTAACACCATTTAGATCTGTCATCATCTATGTGCATCAATTTCCAATTGTTCACTCTCTTGGTTCATCATTTCTATGGCTTATCTTTTATTGAAGGAGATCACGGCATGATCATTAGGAAGAAAATCTATCCTTCTCTCAACGACAGACCATGCAACAGTAAAACCAAGAAAACCAACTGGATGATGGAGCTGTAGCCTTTAGGGGTGTTTCAGGTGTATCAGGTGTTTCAGGCCCTTCCTCCTGCTTATGCATCTCCTGCTGTGTGTGATGCTCTGGCTGCTGCTTTACTGAGGTCATCTGTGCAGGGCTTTGTCTTCCAGCCTCATGACCTGCCAACCTGAAAATACCAACTGCTATCAGTGCAATGCTTCAGCTGACCAGTGTATATAGTAGATAGCAAATTACCCTGCAATAATCATATTTGATAGTTTTCCATATTAAAATTGCATGGTTACTATATGTTTTGTTTAAGTTTGTGAGGAACTGCCTTCCCTATCAGAAGGCTCAATGTGCATCCAAGTATATGTGTTAGCCCTGCATTTGCAGATAATTGAAATTATAAACATTGCTATGATCCTATCTACTATGTGATGAAAGTCACGTCGCTTACAGTGGAAATTGGAATGACTTGGTGCTGTGATTGCTGTCATCAGAACGGTAAGAGGTAGCAGAACCCCTGATTTCCACAATAAGAGGCGCCTTATTTCTACCATGATCACCAGGAATATCACTTAAATCTGTCCTTTCAGATTCATCTGCAGCTTCTTCTGTTTCTACCGAGTCCATTTCCACCTTTACACTCGTGCTTTCAACCTTCTCTTTATCCACATTTGCACTCGTATTTTCAACACTCCTCTTCTCCACGTTTGGATCTTTATTTTCAACAGTCTCATTCTCCACATTGTGAATCTTCATTTCAACAGTTTCTGCTTCAGTAACTGTGGGAAGTGGAGTTGGAATGTAAAACAACTCATCAGGGTAGGTCAGTTCTCCAGATTTATACAGCATAGAAAATTGCTCTCTGGAGAAACTGTTGTTCCCCACATGAAGGCTAAACAATGATTCATTTGAAGCAACACTCCAATCCATGCCTGTTGAAGGTTTACTGGCGAAAATAGACGTTGGGATTCGACTTGGATCATATCCTGCAGGCCGCCCCATCGTCTGAAGTTGAGAGGATTGTCCTGATGATCCACTTTGCAGGCTCCAAGTAAGAGTCTGAGAAGAAGAAGCCTCTGGTAATGGCGGAGGCCCCTGAGACTCCTGGCCCTGTTGTGTAGTTTCGAAAGAGCCATTAACATCTGCTTTGTCAGTAACATCTGATTCCAGTGATGAACGTGGTGACGATGAAGTTGAAGATGATGATGATGAAGAAGATGATGGGAAGCTTGAATTTCGGCGGTAATTAACCATATCAGATTCGAAGTGCACCTTTAGATGCTTACTGTCATCATTCTTCTGCACATCATCCATGACTTTATTTAATATTTGCAACACCTGATAATCCTCAAAATCTCCTGTGCCTGTCTCTAACTGGTTTTCAACTGCAGGGGAAAAAGAAAAATGGGCTTAATCTAAATTTTATTCTAAGATAGGAAAGAATAAAAATGTTGGTTATGCATATAGCTCAAGGACTAAAAACAGAATTTCAATAATCATCAGATGCATATAAACTCAACTGATACTTTCATATAGGCAGCACTTTAAACATCAAAATCATACAATCATAGAGAATGAATCTTCAAACTTTCAAACAGAACCCTGAGATCAAATTAAATCATGCCACTGTAACATCAAGCTTTAATCCCTAAAGATTCAGTATCAAATCAAATCCTTAAGAGACGCATATCTTTAATTCTGGAAACTGGGTTTTGAGCAGAAGATTTACCACTAAATGGAACACCAAAATAATCAGCATAAGTTAACAAAAAGGTAATTACTTGAATCTGCAAGAACCCTTTAGAAAATCAATCCTCAGCTTCAATCAAAACATCGCTCTCAAGAATCAAATGAAGCCCAGAAGCTCTTTAAGATTCTTGACAGAATCAAAGAAAAAAGTTGGATCTCGATAAGCACAAGGGTAACAAAAGAAAAATGAAGTGCAATGCAATGGTAGGAAAAATAGGATGTTTAGGGTTGGGGGTTGGGGGTTGGGGATTGGGATTAGGAAGAAAACCGCAAACAACTAGGGTTTGGATGAGTCAGAGATAAATGAAGGAGCTAAAAAGGACAGGAAAGGAGACAACCTCGGAAGGTTTCGTACTTTGTTATGTGAAACAACGTAACCGACTTTGATCAAAGACATCTAGCGCCATTTCTACTAACTGACTAACTGACTGGACCTCTTGTGAACAAAAACCGATAGAAACGAACTAACAGGTCGCGCGGGAAAATGATGTTCTGGAACTTGGGCCACCCACCTTGGCCCAAATAAAAATTGGTCCGAAGGATGGATGGAGGGTAGAATTGTAAATACGGTGAAATATGAGGTTGAGAAGTTTAAGCTACAAGAGGCTCAGTTTTAGCATGTTATCTGTAAATATTGTTTGCATACAATCTTTACACCAAGATGCTGAAATTTGGAGGCCAAATTGCTCCAATGGAAGGAGCTTTGAAGAAACAGTTATTCCATTTCCATGGTGGAGTTGTGTCTTTTAACTGTAAGCTCTGCTGCTCTTTTTTCACATCTAGACCTTTTGACAATTTGAAAATTGATAGTGCAGGGGATGAACTAATCACTCAATTTGCATTAATAACTTTTTATGTTCATCACATGAGCATATGGCCATTCAAATTATGCAGGCAAACAAGCAACAAAGCACCATATTCGAACTCCATCGATTCGCCTGATGTCGTCGACAGGCATAACTGAGAACTTGAGTTCTTCAGTCCATCTGAAACTGTTTAAAACAAGAAGTGAACAAAGAGATGCTGTCAAGGTAATATTAAAGAATTAACAAGTACAATCATGGTTTCATGTAACATATCAGAGTCGGCATGAAATTCTGTTGTTTCAGAAAAATAATTCTTGGAATTTTTGCCAGGTTTGTGCAGTTAGGAGGAGAAGGATATATCACAATAGTGAAACTTATGTATTGCTGGAACCAGGAGAGGATGAGAAGTTTGTTTCAGAGGAAGAGTTGAGGGCTAAGTTAAAAGGTCGGCTGGAAAACTGGCCAGCCAAGAACCTTCCCCCCGACCTTGCAAGATTTGAAAGCATTGATGATGCTGTTTCCTATCTAGTGAGGTCTGTTTGTGAACTTGAAATCCATGGAGATGTTGGCTCAGTCCAATGGTATGAAGTTCGATTGGAGTGAGAAAAGCGTTCGAGCCTTAGCCCCACCCCCCATCAATTGTTATGCACACCCATATAGAAGCACGAAATTGAGGCTGTGTTTCCATGATGGCATTGGCCAATATGCTTTGTATGTAGCTAAAGAAGCTCAGCAACTTGGAGAAGTGGTTAGTGTGCCTCAAAGAAATTGAAAGTTTTTGGCTCAAGAAATTGAGAATGTGACCACAAATTGTAAGAATTTGCATCCTCTTGGGTAGCTTGTTTTGCTGCTTGGTTTTAAAATTTTTGTTTGAAAAAAAAATTTATGTCCCAAATGAATGAGTGTCATTAGAGGCATTTTGTTCTTTCTTGTCCGTGGTTTCAACCAGCACAATGCCTTGAATAGTCAAAAGACAAGTGAGGGTTAGGGCATGCTGAAGAATCTCATTATTTCATTCACAATTCTATCCAAATATATTAAAATACAGACAAAAATCACACAATACCAAATGTCATTAACCCTGAAACAGTTAAAACTCAGAGAAAGAAAGAAAGAAAAATCTGTTGGAGAAGTCCCAAAAGGTGCCTCAACAGTCTTCATTTATTGGACCCAAAATTCAATTCTGAAGCAGGACCACATCCCACAGCTGCAAATCCTGAATCTGCAGCAATGACAACAGAAAAGAAAGGAAGAGGAATCCAATTGTTATTAATTACACCAAAACATTGCTACCCAAATGAACTTTCTGCATCAGGATTTGTAAATTCAACAATTCTGTTGAGTGATTAATTATTAATTCAATACCTTGGGGCTTGAGTAGATTTTTGCTAGGTGGCAAGAGGGCACCACCCTTTCTGTTTCTGGCAAGAAGGCCTTTTGTTACAGGGGACATCATCAAATCAGTTGGGCTTGTGTACCTACAAAATTGAGAAACAACTTTTTTAAATAGGAAAAAGTTTAGACAAACAATGATCTTATATAACTAAAATATTTTGTGTGGAAGATTTGATACCTTTCTGGGTACTTGAATGCCTTGGGGACTTTAAGGCGATCTGGGGTGGTGGGTTTGCGTAAATCGTTGCCGGAGTTTTGAGAATTTTCATCCTTGTGTTGGAGTGGAGGTGGCGGTGTTATGCACTCGGAGAAGTTCATCATCTCTGATGATTGAATTGGGCTTTTAGGAGGCGGCATTTCTGGCACGTTCTCCATTGAACACTAACGTATCAGTTTACTTGTGTCAAGAATGAAGAAAGAGGAAAATTGGACCACAGTTTTGATGTATGAGAGAGAGACAGAGAGAGTTGAAATGAAAATTTGAATAAATTGGTGTCAGAGGTTACCGTTTGGGATGAGGATAGAAAATTTGCAACGGTCGAATTTAGGCCTTGTCAGGCTTGGGTTCGTTGAACTCGAGATTCAAAATAAAGTCAATTTTTAGTAGGCTTTTTTATCACAAATGATCCTTTAGGTTTGCGAAATTATCACCTTCCATACCCGAGGTTTTTTGTGACACTAATGGTCCTTAAAGTTATCCTCCACACATCAAAATGGTCTTTACCGTTAGCTTCCGTCAAATTTTCTGTTGTGGCACATATGTAGAGCTCATACAACCAATGGTATAGAACCATGTGACTTTAAATAAAATATAAAATATATTTTAAATATTTTAAAACTTAAAATCCATATAAGAAATTAAAAAAGAAAATTAAGTGTTTTTATAAATAAAAAACTAAAAAACCTGCAGCCATCCTCTGTGTTCTCCCTCTCCCAGCGCCCCTCCCCACATCGCAGACCCACTCCAAGCAAATTAAAATCTTTTATTTTCGATTCAAATGCATTCGAGTACTCCAGCACTAATTTCTGAATCGAACCAAGTTTCTGCTCGTTGGACTTCATCTCTCTGTCATATTCTTCAATCAGTGTTTGTTTGTTTGGCTCAACCTCCTGTACAATGCCTTGCAATTCCTTGACTTTAGTTCCCATCACCAAGTTAAAGTTCAACTCTTCGGCTTCAAAATCTGCCAATCGAGAGGCCATTTCCTTCTTGAACACTTGTAGCTCTTGGAATTCCTTGGCTTTAGGGGCTCGATGAGTGGGTCTGCGATGGGGGGATGGCTGCAGGATTTTTAGTTTTTTAGTTTTAATATATATATATATATATATTTATAAAAAGACTTAATTTTCTTTTTAAATTTGGCTTAAATGCTAAAATGGTCCCTGTGTTTTAACCATTTGGCTAATTTAGTCCATGTGTTTTTAATTTGGCTAATTTGGTGCCTGTGTTTCAGACAGTTAGCTAATATAATCCAATCTATTAAACTTCTATTAAAATCTTAATAAAAAATATAAATATTTGAATTCAATCTATAAAATAAATAATTATGAAATAAAAATAAGATTTAAAAGCTAAAAACAATTAAAAACCGAAGGACAACACCATTATTTCAGCAACACCCTTTCTCCCTAGCAACAACTCACCCACACGCAAAAACCCCAACTCCCCAAGCCCACAGCCACCCACCCCACCCCTCCCCTTCTCTCTCTCGCGCTCTCTCTCTCAAGAACAATCCCTAACTCCTGACCATCTCCCAGTAGAATCTTCACCATGCAGTCATCGCCCCACTCCCCGCAACTACATTGCTGAGCAGCCCCACACCCATCCTCTTTTTTTTAATCTTTTTTCTAATGCTATGTTTTAGTTCTAAAGAAGTTTTGATATGTTTTTAAATTAATTCAATTTTTATAAATTAATTTCAACAAAATTGATAGGTTTTCAAAGAAGAAGAAGAAAAAAAAAGAATTATCATGTTTATTTAACGGTAATTTTAACATAATGGGCCACATTGGCTAATAGTGCTAAACACATGGACCAAATTGACTAAATTAAAAACATATGGACTAAATTGGCCAACAAGATAAAACACATGGACTATTTTAGCATTTAAGTCTTTAAATTTTTATATGGATTTTAAGTTTTAAAATATATTATATATTTTATTTAAAGCCTTGTGGCCATATAATATTGTATGTGTATGCTCCATATATGTGTCACGTCATTAATTTAACATAAAATTTGACGGAAGCTAATGACAAGGACCATTTGGTGTGGAAAGTGAATAAAATGTTTAGGTATTTATTGGGAAAATATCTAGAATTTTTTTGCAATTTTTTTAGCCAAAAAATTCAAGACCATCGGATTTATGGGCAAAAACCGATCGGAGCGTTCGAGAAGCGCCATGTGGCATCTTCTCGTTGGGAGCTGTCAAGGCTGACGTCAATGCAGTAAACGTGAACACACGTCAATGGTAAAAAAAAAAATTAATTTCACTATGCTGACGTCAGCCAAGTCGAGCTACATCCTAGTCAAGAACTACCCTAGGGCTTGCCCGGGCTGCAGGCTTGGTGCTGGAGGGTGGAACCTGGGCTTGGGGGGCTGCTGCTAGGGTTTGGGTCTAGCGGTGGACTTGCTCTAAGTTGTCTCAAGTCAAACCTCATGTCAACTTAATCATGTGTGTGTGAAAAAGCTCCCTTTTATAGTTTTAGACTATCATTGTTTTTTTTTTTTTAAACAAAAGCATAACTTTGGTCATATTTTCAGACACCATTACTACAATTAAGCCTATACATACGAAGCATGATGATGGTTTAGCGCAGCAGCTGGCGGCATCTTCTCTGCAATTTTATGGGTTTACATTCATATAAATCATAGGACCGATCCATGGAATTGGTGAATGCATATGCATATTATGCATCAGGGACCCAAATTATCATCTTCCCTATATAAATCCATATCTTGATCTTCAACTAGAAGCAAAGGATAGCTAGCTTAACTTTTATACACTATTATTGCATGCCCTCTTTATTTGACCTCTGTGACCAACAAACGGCAAAATCATTATTTTCAACATAACACACACACACACATGTATATAAAATATGATTTTCTTTGTATGTACACGTGTGCGTTATCCATCTCAAACTTTGCAGATTATGTACTCTAGCTATAAATTTCCTCTTTCAATAATAATTAAAGTTTTGAGAACTTTGACCACAAACTTAATTGACCCGAAAACCCGCATACCATGGCTACAATTCTGCATCACTTAGCTTTAGCCAGCCTAGGGGGCCTCTCAAATCTTTAAACTATCCAATAATTATACATCCTCCTCATGATCAAAGCTAAACAAGAAAATAGGGTATAATATATATACAAATTTTCTCTTATGCAGACGTAAAGACGTTTATTATATCATTCGGAAGCTATGTGACTTTTTCTTTTTGTTTTGATCCCTTTTTATAATAATATATGCATAATAATAACGTCTCTTCCATGTATACATATTCTCTACTATTTTTGAGTGAAAGTTTCACTGTGGCAACATTAATTGGACCTATCTATCAAATTTTGTGCTGATGATGATGCATTATGGTTCAATGGAATTGTAACCTCTCTAGAAGTTGAAAAGACTAATAGGTTGACCAACGCCAGGCCTTGAATCCCTGCGCTGACCACGTACGTGCCCTGCAAAGCCATCTATCAATATATATCATCATACCATTGGAAAAGAAACCAAAAAAGGAGAAAATATATCTATAATCTATCTAAATTGCTAGCTGTTGGCCTAGATGCCTTTAATTACAATTTACAACACATACACACACTGATCAGATTAGATCAGACAGGAGGAGTAAGATGCAATCAAACGACTCGTAGCATCAACAACACGATCATGATGTGGTAAATCAAAGAAATTATACATACACGACGTCCGTACAATAATATTGTCTGAATATAATTATGATGTGGTCAAACACTTAATTGCAAAGCATTGATTATGATATTATAAAGTACACCTTATTATGACATATGTAACACACAAAGCAAAGCAATTCCATTTCGGATTTCAAAATCATGAGTTCTAAGAAATGCGTATGGTTTTGACTTTTCAAAAGCACTCGCGATAAAAGTGAGAAGACAACGAACCATTATTTTTTTCAACTTTTGGATATTGTGGATTGGAATATTGTATACAATATTAATATGTTTTTTGTTTTTCAGTTTTTGATGATGACATGAGTTAATGTTAATTATGGGGTTCAACTTCAAAATCTAAGGCAGCATCGATTGGACAGTGATGCATGCTTAGGGCATACACACAGTATACGTGTGCTTATAGCTGCAGCCTGCAGGCTCACAACTACCATTCAGAAGAGCTTTAAAATATATACATATATATATATATATATATATTGGTATATAAGGAGGAGAACAGTGGGACCGGACAGACTGATTCTGCTACCTTCTTTCCTCACACACAGACTCAGATATGCGAACCTTTTGAGTGAATGAATGTGAGAAGCAAGAGATTGCATGTCATGATTTTAACTGCATTGTTTTAATAGGCCCCAAAAATAAACAAAAAAGTTACTGCAACCTAGCTCTCAATATAATTAATATTGGTAGAACACTGGAGTTCTCCTATATATATATATAAAAGAGAGGCTACTTTCATTAATTAATTTCTGCATTTGAGAAAGTGAATCAAGGGTATCTCAAAAACCCAAATGAGCAGGCATACATACATGCATACATACATATGAGCATTTCAAGGTTTCTGCAGGTTCATGAGTGTTGAGAGAGAGACGAAAGCATTGACCAATTGAAAGTGACCATCACCTCTCTTCTCTCTCTCTCGTTCTCTCTCTCTCCCTTAGTTTGCTTCATCTCTTGGTTTTCTTTTGTTGCTCTTTCCAATAATTACCAGTGTTTTAAGGCTTTCAATATCATCCACTTCTTCTTTCACCAAAAAAAAATATCATCCACTTCTTCCAACCACTCTCTGCGCTGTGCTCATTGCTCTCTACTTCAGTCATAAATATCATCATTATTTCCACACTCGTCCATCTACGCCTACTCTACTCTACAATTACTGACATATACATTTTTTTTTTTACAAATTTATAAATAAACCCAATCCTAGACATGTATTTATATTGGGGTGTTTTTATATTTTTAAATAGGGCTTAGGTTTTTTTATAATTTCACCCCCCATTTTGGGTGTTTTATTGAAACTCTTTTTTTTTTTTTTTTTTGGTATTTATTAATTAACATATATTACTACTAGTTTGAACGTGATATATCTTGGCTTTTTTTAAGGGTACAAGCGATAATTTAAACTACAGGAGATGAGGTTTCTCACACACACGTAACACACACACACTATATATATATGTGTATGTATATAGTATAAATACTTGTATATAGAAGTATATGTATACACATGTATATATTCCAAGTACACATTCTTAAAGGAAGACAAGAAAGGGAATGCAGCAGAAGCGTATACCATCTTGTCTTGGCAACAAAGTTAGAAATTTCAAGCATAGAAACTTCTATAGTCCTTGTCAAGCTTACCCCCATAAGGTCCAAGTACCAGCAAAGCACATAGTGAAAATTATAACTTTCGAAAAAAGAAAAAAAGAAAAAGAAAAGGCTCAATTTGATGAAAGATAAGCGTCCACACACACACATATATATAATGATTGTATAGAGATAGATATTGGAGGAGGTTATGATGGTTATGGAAAACAATTGCTAGTTTTGGCTGCATACAAAATAGTGGAGGCTGAAGCTCTTGTTGTTCATGAAGTCTTTTTTCAAAGGCAATGCAAGTCCAAAAGAGCTTCTATCATCGCCATGGCCACACACACACCATGCTATTTTTAGAAATCAATGAAACCGCCCTCGCGTGCACCTAAAGACAACCATACAAGAAAAAGTGCCTTTATTTTTATGTGGAACTGCTTTATTATATTATATATATTTTCTGAAAAGTTTCCAAAACAGTAAGTTTTACGTTCGTCATATATTATATGGTGTAGATATTATGCTTTCTTACTCTATATCTGTATAATAATAGATCGACGAGACAAGAAACCTTACATAACATGGATTTTCATGAAAGTCAAAAGTTAATTTGAGGGATGAAGTTGGTAACTTAAGAACAATCACATGATTCATATGTACTTGAAAGATTGTATGTTTTATGCGATATATAAGAAGGCCATGTGAAAAACATTAGCTAAAAGATTTGAAAACTTAAAGAGTATGCCGGTTTCGTAGATTTGTTGACTTTGCGATACAACTAAAGGTTTGCAAGTCTAAAGTTTGAAGACTGACATCGATCAAATCCACGTATTACCAAAAAACATAAAGAGTATTTTGAAAATTGAACCTACATATAACAAGAGTATTGCAAGTCCAGTTAAGTAAGAACTGCCACAAGCATATACATAATGTCTTAAGAATAGAAAATAAAAAACTTCTAAGCAATTAGCAGCCAGTTTTTAGCTGTTTTTACCTCTATGTAGCAGAGAAAAACATAGTTGCAATGGGAAACAATTCTTACCGGTATGTAACAGAGAAAAACTTAGTTGCAACGGAGAACAATAATTACCAAATACTACAAAATAAAGCGCGAAAATAATACGTCTCTCACATTATATATTATCCAACTACCTTATTGTATGACACAAATTATTAATTTTTTAAACTAAAGTTTGCAAAAAATCTGATCAGAATGAACACATTAAATGTTATCCAAACAAAACAAAACAAAAAAACAATTAAAAATTGAAGAAGAAGAAAAGAAGAGGAAGAGGGGATATAAAGCCAACGAAGATAGAAGAAAGAGGCTGGCCAGGGCCAGGCTAGTCAAAGTCGTCTCCCGTGTGGTATACCGTATATGAATACAAGAGGAATTAATGGAGGATTAAAGGGGCCGTTTTAGGGGCATGAGAAAACCATAATTGCTCCTATGATTAAGACAGGTTAAGACAACCCCCCCCAGCTATAAAAATCACAGAATTTATGTTTGGGTCCATTTTATCGCAAATTATCCTCTGCTAATTGCTTGCCAAGGCCAGCTGGATTTGACCAAAATATGGGCTCTCATAGGGGTATAATTGTCTTTTCAATGTGCATGAGTACTTCTTCCAATAGTTTACAAAATTTATTAGGTTCCATGTTCAGTCCTTATTTTATTAGGTCTTGTTCATTTCTCTCTCTCTCTCTCTCTCTCTCCTATTTAATCCATGCTGAAAAGCAGAGTATTACTTCCCATCAAATACACACAACTAGGAAGAGTGAAGTAGCTAGTACAATATTTTTATCTTAGCTGCTCCTTCTTCTTCATGGTCATGGCCAAAACACAGATCCTAATAATCTTTGTTTTGCTTCTTATTGGGTTGTTTACTGGAAGCCCTGGAATTGTAGTAGCAAATGAAGAAGAAGAAGCTGATAGGATTGTGGCGCTCCCTGGACAACCCAACGTCTCTTTTCAGCAGTTTTCTGGATATGTCACTGTAAATCACCATGTTGGCAGAGCCCTCTTTTACTGGCTCACTGAGGCTGCTCATGATCCCTTGTCGCAACCTCTTGTTGTTTGGCTCAATGGAGGTTAGCAACCACATTCTAACTTTACTACATATATACAGCGTCCGCAGAATAATAACGTCTGGACGTCCGCATAGGAGAATTTCTATACAAAATCAGAATATTTGTGTTTGTTGGGTTTACATTGTTCTTGAAGGGGGTTTGAAAAGTTAATATTTACTTACTGTTATATTGCTCCAAGTGACATGTATTTGCAGCATATTTACTCTTTTGGTAGGTTATCTATGCTTTAAATGTCCATGGACAGGGAATATGGTTGCCGACATGATGAGAAAATTATATGTTTGTATGTAGAAAATTTATGAACATGCTTATTTTTACAAGTAAATATTGTTTATGCATTCTGGCATCTATGTACCCTTTTTTTTCATTTAGTTTCAGTTTCTTCTTTTCTGTTCTGATTCTGAATCAAAACCCAGTTCCTTTAGGTGTGCCTTCAATTTTTATACACAGAAACGAACAAAAAGAAGGAAATTTGAAACAGGGAGAGCCCACCATCAGGGCCTACCCAATGCCAAGAAATGATGATCTAACTACCAATATTATATGTAAGCTAGAGATATTAAAAAGTACACAACTTTACTTCCAATAGCTCCAATAACAGATGAAGAGAAAAAAAGGAAACCCATAATTCTCTCTCTCTCTCTCTCTCTCTCTCCCTCTCTCTTTCTCTGAAATTGAATTGCATGTAGTATACAGACAAATGAGCCATTAATGCTTTGAGAGCAACCAAAAACAAACTTCAATTATTAGCCGTAGCCATTTGCACCAATTGTCAGTATCTACCATCCATGGCATCATTCATGACCAGTGGTTAAGTTTAGCAGAAGAAAAGCTGGAGAGCTAGGCATGCCTGGCATGGCTTAAAGACAAACCCCATTTGGCCCCATATACTTTTTTCAAAATTAAATTTCTATATTTTATTTTAATTTTATTTTAATAATGCAGTATGTTTAATTAGGTCTAATTAAAATGTTTATTTTTGGCCAATCCCTCGTCCTGGGAACCCCCGGCTGGCGTCGGCTTCTCCTACAGCAACCGCTCCTCCGATCTCTTTGACACCGGTGACGACCGCACCGGTAATTTATTCTTAATTAACCATTTACTTCTTACAGTCATTAATTAATTAATCACTAGTAGTTATTATTATGCTTTATTTATTTTTAAGCACGAGTGTTTTTTATATATATTTATTTATTTATAAAGAAAACTTTGACGGAATGAGAGAAATTTTATTAATAAAATGAAGAATTACAACGGAAGACAACACACCTGACCCGACTTAACAAATCACATAATAGGGTGGTTATGATTATTCATCGAGTGCTACATATGCTGATCACGACTAGCTAACTGCCGTATTGATTATATAAATGATTTTATGGTCCAAAGTCATGACAAGTGTCAATTATTGCCTTGTTCTTGTTATTGGATACAAATTGCCTTGATTAATTAAGATGACATAACATAATTTTGCCTGGTCATGATCAGTTTGACCTTTGACTCGATTATTAATATAAATTTCAATTACCATGGTTTATCTATTTTTGTTTTTTTTGGCCTACAATTTAATTATGGGGGTGTTTTGATTCAGCAAGGGACTCATTGCAATTCTTGATCCGATGGTTGGATCGATTCCCACGATACAAGGGCCGAGAAGTATATCTTACAGGCGAGAGCTATGCTGGCCATTATGTCCCTCAGCTGGCCAAAGCAATTTTGACCTACAATTCACAATCCAAGCACCCAATCAATCTTAAAGGAATAATGGTACTTATAAAATCATTTGTATGTTATATATATATACATGAAACGTTACTTTATGGTACAAGCTGCTATGATACAGGTTCACAAATAAGTGAGCACGGTTAAAAATGTGTTCGTATGTCATACGAGTTTGTATAATATAATGTTTGATATTACCTTAATAGTGTAGCATCAAAGTAATTGACATAAAATGCAGGTGGGTAATGCAGTGACAGATAACTACTATGATAACCTAGGGACGGTGACATACTGGTGGAGCCATGCCATGATCTCTGATAAAACCTACCGGCAGCTGATCAACACGTGCGATTTTCGCAGGCAGAAGAACTCCGATGAATGCGAATCATTGTATAGCTACGCCATGGATAAGGAGTTTGGAAACATAGACCAGTACAACATTTACGCACCCCCTTGCAACAACTCTGATGGAAGCACTTCTACAAGGCAGAGCAGCATGCGTCTGCCTCATCGACCGGTATACTAATAACTAATACTTTTTTAAGTATCTTCAATTTGTACGTAAAAAGAATGTAACCTTATTTTAATCAGTGTTTTGCTTTTGGTTTTTAGATGTTCCGGCAACTATCTGGCTATGATCCTTGTACGGAGAAATATGCTGAAGTTTATTACAACAGGCCAGATGTGCAGAAAGCTCTTCATGCCAACATAACCGGAATTCCTTATAAGTGGACTGCTTGCAGGTGATCAATGCAAAACTCAACATTTTTATTTCTTGTTTTTGAGGTGGAGGGGCTTAAGTATATCTTAGTTTAACAGATGATTTGTGTTATTTTATGATAAGCATTGCAGTGAGGTTTTGAATCGAAATTGGAACGACACAGATGTATCGGTTCTTCCTATTTACAGGGACATGATAATAGCTGGTTTGAGGATTTGGGTTTTCAGGTATAATTAACTTGTATATATAATTAATGTTAATGTTAACAATCAAACTCTGTTCTCATGTGATATTTAATTCATGTTCATGATTTCTTGAACTGATACATATGTGCAGTGGAGATGTGGATTCAGTGGTGCCAGTTACAGCCACTAGGTACTCCCTTGCACAACTCAAATTAGAAACCAAAATTCCATGGTACCCCTGGTATACTAAAAAGCAGGTCAGTAAGATAAATCCCAATCCAATATATATAGAAACAATTTTTTCATGAATTATTATTTTGCATTGTGGAGATGAATTTATGATATGTTGATTGTGAAGGTGGGAGGGTGGACAGAGGTGTATGAAGGGCTGACATTTGCAACAGTGAGAGGAGCAGGTCATGAAGTCCCACTTTTCAAGCCAAGAGAAGCTCTTCATTTGTTCAAATCATTCATTCAAGGGAAGCCCCTTCCAAAGTCCTCATGATAACTGAAAACCAAAGAGAAAAGGAAAAAAAAAGAGAGAGAAATATAAAGACAGGAAAAGGAAAAAATTTCCTTGCCATTTTAATACCTGAGTCTTCTGAATTATTGTTATTGTCCTAACTAGACAAGAAAATGTGTTACTAGTGTTGAGAAACAAGTAGAGCTAGAGAGAGAGAGAGAGAGAGAGTTTGATTGTGTTTTAGGATGTTAGGCAAATGGCCTGAGATGAAGAAAGTTTAGTTTGTAATTTGTGGGATAACCCATCATCTAGTTTGGCTTTCGCTAGACCTAGTGTAGAAACTCCCTTGGCCAGTGTTTCTTATTCAAGTGGGAAGTGATGATTGAAATGTTTTCACTTATTATTTTTAAGAGTTTTATTAAAAGAGAAATGAGATATTGACAGCGCCGATTTTTTTTAGTTGGGTCTCGGGTTAAGTGCTTTATCACTGAAGCTATAAACTCTCGTTTGGTTGAATTTTTTTAACAAACTTACCCTTATAATTGGACAAACATGAGCTCACAAGTAATCTTATACTAATTACTGACCCAAAGGCATATCTATTTCACCTAGTTTCTGTGAAAGGCAAACTTGATGAAGGGCCTTTTGCAACGACATATCAAGGCCCAGCGGAAAAGTAGTTACTCTTTGGAGCTTCTGTTTTATTTCTAAAACGTGTCTTTGGTGGAACAATATAGATTCATGAACTTGGAGGTTGACTTTGACCAACCATGATCCTTGTCAGTTTGTTTTGGAGGAAAAAGTGTTGAGAGGAAAATAACCTCTTCTAGAAAAACAATATTTAATAAATAAAAAAGTGAAAAAAGAAGAAGATATTTTGTTTGAGAAATAAAAAATGTCAATGAAGACGATGACAATGGTGAAAACAATAGCAAGTGAAGGTAACAATGGGGTGGAGGAGACAAAAGCAGCCAGGAATCAGGATAAGCTTTTTTTCTTTTTCCTCTTATCGAAAATGACTTCCAAAACAAGAATTTAGAAGTGATGGCTAAGTTTTTGACAGCTTTTCCCTTTTAATTTCCATCTAAACTCTAAACAACTCAATATAACCTACGAAATTACTACCAATTTGGTGTTGAAGAATACTTAACAAATTAATATATTTGATATTTATTTAAGTAATATTCGAGAATGAGATATTCGAACACATAACCTTGACTGCAAACGCTTTTAACCAAGCTACAAACTCATTACTTAACATATTTTGAAGGGTGGACACACCTGGTTTTCTTCAAACACAAGAAGGTGTGTGTAATTTATGAAAATAAAATGGAAAAATGTGAAGGACGGTTGTAGTTATGAATATTGTACAGTGTACACATGAGGAGTGGAGAGAGAGACCACTATGGTAAGAGTAACACAATATTATACTTTATCTTTTTGGAAAATAAAAATAAATATTATATTTGCAAGAGTGTTTTAAATAAATAATACCATATATTACGTCACATATTCCGCTTTAAGATACGTAGTGTATATAATATTTACTTTGTAAGCATCGTAGTCTGCATAACTAAGTTGGGCAGTAGGCTCAAACCGAGGTGAAGGTCAAACCCGCGAGGCTTAAATTATGCAAGAAAAGAAAAAGACCACAAAATTCAAAAATTAGAGTCCAGAAAAGTTTGCTTAAATTGAACCCCAGAGTCATAGCCGAGAAAGTTGGTTTCTTTTTCATGTCTAGTCCCTCATCATAAGTGTTCATTTTGACTGCTTTCACTGGCGGGTAGATCTTGCTTGAATTGAAGTCTGTTGTTTTCTTTGTTTCGAGATTGGTATTTCTCCAGCTTCATTTGAACACTGTTCATGCGATTTATGAAGCAGAAAATTTGTCTGTGTTTGCGTTTTGATTTGGAGCTTCTGTGTCTCTTTGATCTCCTTTTTGTATGTGTTGCAACCTGCAAAAGTTTGAAGACTGCGAAGGGGTAGGCTTTTTCCTTTGTATTATTGCCTTGTGTAGTACATCTTTTCTATTCAACTTTGGGTTGCTTTGCTTTGCTTTACCTAATTGTTTATAGTGATTGCCACTCATGACCAACTTTTAAAAAGATTGGTTTTTTTTCTTCTTATTTGACAATAAAAAGATTGGCCCTTTGCTTCATCATTGACAGGACTTTTCTTATCTCCTCGATCCTCTTTTGGGTTCCCACTTCATTTTAGCAACTATTCATAGGTTTTCTGTGCTGGGTCTTCGCCAGTTTTCAACATAAACTACTTCGTTGGATACAAAAGCATTGATTTTGGTTTGTGCCAGCAAGAGGGTATTGTTTACCTTTCTGATTTTTGGAAATTGGAGGTTTCGGTTCAATTGCCAAAGTTTTTCAGTTCTTGCCGTTGATTTGAAAAGGTTTTAGTTAGACTTGCTGGTCTCCATTTTTGGTCTGTTTCTTGTATGTCTATGGGGGATTGCAAGTCTATGCGTCCGGAAATGGAAGGAGAAGACGACTTAATTGCTGCAGCGAGAAACATAGCGAGGGCATTGGGATCAAAGAAGAACCTTACAGATGGTGAAAGGGAAATTTTGGCAAATCTTGGCACCCAATTGTCCACCATGATCTCACTCAGTGAGAAAAAGGGTGAGAAAAGTGGTGATATTGAAGATCGTCTTAATTCTATCCAGGAGAGGGTCATGAGTTGGGAGGCAGATCAGTCTATGATATGGAATTCAGGCCCAAATGAATCTCTGGAGTATGTCAAAGCTGTGGATGAGGCTCGAAGGTTTGTCGAAAGGTTAGAGGGTTTGCGTTTGAATAAAGATGATCAAGAGTATGAGGTGCTACAGAAAGCTTATGATGTTCTTCAAACAGCTATGGCTAGGCTGGAGGAAGAGTTCAAATACATGCTTGTTCAGAACAGGCAACCCTTTGAACCTGAGCACATGTCTTTCCGTTCAAGTGAAGAGGATATTGTGGATGGCAGCTCAATAATCTCTTTTGGGGATGATTCATTTGAGGACTCACTTCAAAGAGATAGTGTTAGCAGAGCATCTGAGGAAGTCATCATTGATTTGGTTGATCCAGATGTAGTTCCTGAGCTCAGAGGCATAGCAAATTTGATGTTCAATTGCAATTATGATCAGGAATGTATCCAAGCTTATACTAGCATCCGAAGGGATGCCTTGGATGAGTGCCTCTCCAGTCTTGAAGTCCAGAGACTGAGCATTGAGGACGTGCTGAAGATGGAGTGGGGTTGCTTGAATTCCAAAATCAGAAGATGGGTCTGGGTTATGAAGATCTTTGTTCGGGTTTATCTTCCTAGCGAGAGATGGCTCAGTGATCAGATTTTTGGGGAGCTTGGACCAGTTTATTTAGATTGTTTCGTTGAGGCATCAAAGCCTTCAATGCTGCAACTTATGAATTTTGGTGAAGCCATGTCTATTGGTCCCCACCAACCAGAAAAGTTGTTCCGCATTCTTGACATGTATGAGGTGCTAGCGGATCTTCTTCCTGATATAGATGGTTTATACGTGGATGAGGCTGGTTCTTCTGTAAGAAATGAGTGTCATGAGGTTCTGATGAGATTGGGTGATTCCGTGAAGGCAACATTTAGTGAATTCGAGAATGCCATTGCATCAAACGCCTCGACTAACCCTGTTGCTGGAGGAGGAATACACCCTCTCACCAGATATGTGATGAACTACTTGAGGACTCTTACAGACTACGGCGAGACCCTTAATGTGCTCCTTGATGACAGCGATGAAGGTGATTCCATTTCACTGTCTCCTGATACGAGTCCAACCACAGAAGAGGAGAACAAAAGCATTGATACTTCGGGCAGAATTTCCCCAATGCTTCGCCACTACCGGTCACTTGTTTCAACTCTGGAGAGCAACCTTGATGACAAGTCCAAATTATACAAGGATGCTTCCTTGCAACACATATTTTTGATGAACAATCTGCATTACATGGCTCAGAAGGTTAAGGGGGATGAACTGAGGCTCCTTTTTGGAGATGGGTGGATTAGGAAGTGCAATGGGAAATTTCAACAGCATGCAATGAACTACCAGAGAGCTAGTTGGAGTTCCATTCTTTCTTTGCTGAAAGAGGAGGGCATTCAAAATCCTGGTTCAAATTCCATCTCTAAAACCCTCCTTAAGGAGAGGCTCCGCAGCTTTTATCTTGCTTTCGAGGAGATTTACAAGTGCCAAACGACATGGTTGATTCTGGATCCTCAGCTTCGAGAAGATGTGCAAATCTCGACATCTCTGAATGTAGTCCAAGCTTACAGGACATTTGTGGGAAGACATTCCAACGACATAAGTGACAAGCTCATCAAGTACAGTGCTGATGATTTGCAGAATTACCTTTTGGATCTCTTTGAGGGATCCTCAAAATCATTACAGAGTTCCAGCAGGAGGTGACACCAGAGTAGATAAAACTGTCAATGTTTATTATTTACAACGGAGGGAAAGCGTTCATTTAATGTTCCCCTCTGCTCATGTATGTTTGATTGTTAAACAGGTTAGGATCCCCCATGAAATTGATAGGGGTTCTGTCCCTCCGTAGTTTCGTGTGTGTAATGTAATATAATCAAGTAGGTTCATTTTTTGTGATCCCTGTAGTCCATGTGGTAACAGATATATGTATTGGATGCTAGCGGCAATTCATATGGAACTTTATGTGTTTTAACTAAATCTGTTTCTCTTCTTCTTTTAAGTAATTGAGATGCATGTTATAGATTGTCAAATTTGAGAGACTCTGATAAAGTCCACCAGGATAGCATGTAAGAAGATTTAGCGCCAAATAGTCAAATATAAAATCAAAGACCCAGAACGTTGAGGCCAACAAGAAGCGGTCTGATTATTCAGCAGCAGAATTGTCAAAACAGAGTTGCAAGCAAGCATGTGGTCATAATGCATTGAGACTTCAAGGCAAGGGGAGCTGCATTTCATTTCATTGCCTGTCCGGCTCAACAGGAATTTGGCAATTGATATTGTCATGTGGGCCCCTGGAAAAGTGTGTTTTTGTTGGAAATGTCATCAATGTGAAGGTAGTTGTAACTTGTAGGAGACACTGAATAGGGAGCCGCCTTGTCTGTGATTCTGTGGCTGAGAAGAACCCCTTCAGAGCTAAGGCTGAGTCAGGCCTGTCAAGGCCCCATACAAGTGGCCTTGGACAAGTATTGTGCATCATTGCACGACCTCGTAAAATCCACTGATTTCCTTTTTCTTGTTCAACTTCATTTATTTTCCAACAAGTGGATCAATTCTGCAATGACCCCTCCCATCATGAATTCAATTTTTCAGTTGGGTTTCTTTTAATGACATGTAGCTTTTAATCGACAACTCGGCAGATGGAGTAAGCACAGTAATAGTATTAACTCATCTAATGAAGAAAAACAGCTTCAAGTCTTCAACTGGATAGAAATTCACAGAAATGGATTAAGTTAATGGGAAATACAAATGCAAAGAAAATTCATCACGAACGCCTTGTGGATACATAATACACAACTTCGGATCTTACTGATTCCCATATAACCTTTGGCAGTGAATATACTCGCATGCTGACAATCTTAAACCAAAACACAGAAAAACTACTACGAATCTACACCTGTACTTGATACAACATAGCTCTTCCCTTCATTCTCTAGGAAAGAGCCCAATGACGGCCAAGAGAAACAGATCTTGAATTTCCGAAAACGTAAAACAGCAAAAATCCACTGCACTGCCTTTAGCTTTCTCATGACACCAATATCCCACCACATGGAGCTGGATGAATCCATTCATTTGCATGTATTTAGAGAAATTCCGATCAGGAGCCATTAGTTTGTCGCAAACAATTGACCAGCTTATGCTAACTGAAAACTCATAATGCCCAGAAAGGCTTTCGAGCTGTCACTGCACCAGAATTGCTTGTGGGTAATTCTTTGTTAGTTTCCTCAGAGTCATCATCATCCTCACCATATTCCATCAGCTTGACCAAAGTATCTGAGATAGCCAAAGTTCAGATATATTTATACTTTTTTTTTTTGGTCAGACATTCATACATCATCGGTATAAAATCACAAACGAAATTACAGATAAGGAAAGAGAACAAACAATATACCATTTTCCAACTCCCCACCCCCCCAAAAACACACATGCAAATAACATCTCTAGTCTTCCCATCAAAATTAGCACACACCGGAAAGAGAAAAACAAGCAGAGCAGGTCTTCAAGCTTACCAGGGACATCATCAGATTTTGTTTTGGTCAGAACGTGTGCTGATGAGGTGAATTTTGGTGGAGGTGGCGGCATTGTTCTAGGTAGGGGTGGTGGCATTCCATTTGATGCTGGCTGGACCAATTTCTTTGGAGCTGGCATAGTTGATACATTTCTCACACCCAAATCTGCCAACAGTTCATTTGGCTTTGACATTTCCAGTTCCTGCATCCAGTTAGGGAGAAAAGAAACCAAAGGGAAAAACTAACAGTTCAATAACCATAAAATGGAGGTGTTATGTAATAAAGTTGATTAATAATAACCTAAAGATTAAATACTGATATCTGCAACAGCAAAAATTAATTTATCTAAACAACCAAAATCATATAGGCACAAAGGTACGACACTCTATAAAGGACATACTTAAGTTAGTAGAGACAATGGATTTCATATCATCAAGCAAGTCTAGCATCTAGAATGTCTTTCAAGGATATGGCCAAGTTCATAAAGGTATACAACAAATAGAAGGAAGTGTGAGCTGCCTCATATAATGACTAGTACACATAAACTTTTGCTTACAGCAGGAGCAATCATAGATCAAATTCCACTAGAAGGACCCACCAGCATGCACATCCAATTTTCTCACAAGCAAGAGGTTCAACCATCAATACCAAAGCTAGTTTTATGTCGATACAACTGCCATAAAGTATGAGTAGCTGAGATTTTGCATAACTCTTGACTCGTTAAAACAGTGGAGTGTTCATGAGATGCACATGAAGTTGGCATTGGTCGTGATGGTACCTCTTCTCTGGGAGTTTTGGCTGTGCATGCTGCTGGTGACAGCCCAAGAAGGAAACACTAAGAAATGAAGAACTCCAACACTGGAATGATTTATCACAAACTGATAACCAACAGAAAACAAAATATATTATCATAACTTGACCTAAGTATATAACATTAAACTAAACTGCATGAAATCTAGGTTGTATGTGGAATATAGCTCCAAAGCCACAAGTGAACCGCAATGGCGCCTCCAAGATTGAAAACCCTGTGAAAAATACAAACCAGTGGCCCAATAGAGAGGTCCAGTATTGGCATGTTAGCCTCATAGAAGGTCAGAGAAAATACCTGGAATAGCAAGCACTGCAAGTCAGTACAAGATTCAATTACATTACAGTGATGACAAAAGACCAATTCAAAGTAAAAATTGAACATTTCGCAACATCATCCATTTACCTAAATGGTCATGTTGGTGCTGAAGAAAACTCAACATTTATATATTTATATGTATATATATATATATGCATGCAGAAAAAAAAAAAAAGGAAAAAAAACGTATGGACATATCTGGTATCTTAGTTGATGGGAAGTTTACCCAAAGACAACAGTAATGTCAAGAAAATTAGTCTCTCCCTAGTCCAAGCTATATGGACAGTTAACTAGCTAATCAAGCTATCTTAGCTTGACTTGGCATTTGCAAGGTCAACCGAGACTTAGCAGTATTTGTGGTTATAACCCAAACATACTAGCTGAACAATATATAAAGGATAGAACAATAATGCAGGACCAACTGGTCTTTGTGGATCAACAACCAGGGAGCATGCAATGGTACCTGATGGACTTTTGAAGGACCAACTGGTAACTCCTGAAACTTCCGCCTCTGTGACTGTGGAGGTCGTTTCTCCTTTTCAGAACCAGAAGTGGAGTTAACATTCAACTTTGGTTCAGTGCTTGGCGCTGATGTTGTGGGAGCAACTGTAGAAGGGATAGGGGATGACTGTCTAAGGGCAAGAGCAACTTGTTGCAAAGGTGTGACTTGAGGATATATCCCACCGTATCCATTGTAGCTTGTTCCATTAGATAATAGAGGTAGAGGTTGGGGATAACCACCAATGTTTGCCTGAGATTGCACAGAGTTTAACAACCCTCCAGGTTGAGATATTGCCCCTTGAGAAAAGACAGTAGCGACCACAGGGGTTCCAACAGAGGAAACTGCCGGAGCTGGTGTAGCACCCACAGTTGGAGACGACAAACTTGTAATTGTTTTTACCTCAGTTCCAGAACTCTGAACTCCAGCCAACAACTGATGCGGTGGTGGAACAGCACTATATACCTGCTGTGGGGGTGGAACAGCACTACAAACCTTAGATGATGAAACCCTATGACAGAAAATGGCAACAAGTTATATACCATAACTAATTACAAGCTACAGCACAAACCATAAAAGCTAATGGAAACCAGATATTCATGCATTGAGCAGAACCAGCAGAATCCTAAACTCAAAGTTGCTGCCATTGCAGATTAAAATCCAACAAGTTGGGTGAAACAAATAGTTATTACTAAGGGCAGTTGAAACATGATTATCTCTAATTGATTAAATGATGAAAGGTTTGGAAACACAAGTAAATAACATGTTTCATTTCCCAAACTGAATGTAAAACCAAGAACAGAGAGAAAATCCCTCTTGTCATATTTTGCCAGAAGTTAGAACAATTCTAGCCATGCAATGCCTTAGAACAATTGAAAATCTAATTACCTGGAGACACCACACTCTACACTGATTGTATCCAAAAGATTTTCAGCCAAAAGTTTAGCATCTTCAAGACTTTTTGAATTATTACTTGACAAGAATAAATGCAATGGTAGCTGTCCTTCTGCAAGCGAAATAAGTGAAAATAGGTAACAATAGCCAACAAAATATCAGTATGCTGGAGTAAGAAGCTTGCAATACGATCATACTGCATACAAAAGGTGATACCTTCGCCATTTACACTCTCAAGATTTCCTGAACCACGCCCTCTGAGTGACACAGTTGCTCCTGTTTCATTCATAATGTGATTTATATACTGGTCCTGCATGTACCAAACCAAACCACCACCAACACAAAAACAATTTCTCCCAATTGTATGGAGATGTCAGAGAAAGCTTCAAACATTAGAATCTCTTATCTTCATTATGTGCAAAATAAACTGCTTAAAAAGAAACAAATCAACCCTCTTACGAGCATACAGATTATATATAGTAAGTGCATATGACACTTAAAGCAATGTCAACATGATAATATATGATACAGATGAAATGAACACTGGCCAACATAGAGTTGTAGAACTCATAGAGAGAGAGAGAGAGAGAGGAGGAGGGGGAGGCGGGGGGTAAGAAACACACAGCCCCGCTTAGAAAAAGAGAGTTGAGAGAGATGGAGGAGTGGGGGGGGTGGGGGGGGAGGGGGGGGGGGGGGGTGTGGGGTTGGGTGTGGAGAAAGAGATGAGATGGAAAGAGAGGTTGAAAATTATTAACTTGACTACAAAGTACACTGCTAAATCCTAAATCCATAATTTCTTTTACTGATAAGACAGGTGGACGAGGGGAGGAAAAAAAACTACTAACTCACATTTGGCCCACGTATACGAGCAGCAATGTTCCATGACGGATCTGCGTCAAAGCCCAAATACACACAAGTGTTCGGTGCCTGAGTAACCAGATTCAATATGAGAATTTCTGCAATCAATTTTCCATACCATCAAAAAGTTGACATTTAATGGAATCATACCGTCAATCCGTTGCTCATAGTCGGATTCTGACCCTGTTTCAGCATTTCTTCAACCATGGCAGCTGCACGGTCAACTGCTAAAATCCGTTCTGCTGTCTCTTTTAACTGGAAAGCCATGATTATGAAGAAACCAAATCCAAATTCCTCCATGAATTTTTTTTATTAAAGATGGACACTTTGACAGACGGGGGACTTTTAGAAAAGGCAATATGGCCCACAGTTTACTATACTAATGATTGTTGTTGAACTATCTAAACTTCACAATCGACATCAATGAGATAAGTTTAAAATATCTTCCATATGATGATGACACATATTTTGAGAAAAAACTATCTAATCATGGGTGGACAAAAGAAATTCTCACCAAATCTATTGCACACTCTCATTATCAAACATAAGACATCCATAACAGTCAGATTAACAGAGAAGATTTTCAATACAACTTATGCTCCAAAAATAAAGCTAATTTACTTACATTAGCCCCTGCAGAAATATGAAGATATAATGGCTTTTCACCATCAGTTGATGCATTTGGTGGACGATACTTGCCCCTGTAAAGGCAATTTAGTATACGCATTACACACATGACGCATGAACTAAAAAAAAACCAACTATAAATGCACCTAGTACTGCCATTGAAAGCCAATCAACCTTGTTATCACCACAGCACCAGTGCATCTTTGGATCTGGAAGTAATATACACCATCAATCTCAAACAAAAGAACCATCCATTACAAACTAAATGTAAATTAAGTCACTATATTTTCTTTTGAAGGAAAAAAAAATAGACCTCCTCCTGTGTTTGGCGTTTTGTCAGCTTATAACGAACAAGAGACTCTGCATCGTTGATAACAATTTCTCGTGCTATTAACTCATCTTGGATCTTTGGCTATAAATCATTGAGCAAAACAAACAAGAAATTTGAAACAAATCAATTGCAACATCAACTGGAATACAAGAAAGAAAATAACAATTAGTGCATAAGTGGATCCTATATGAAAAACAATATCCCAAAATAATGAATTATGATTGGATGGTGGAAGTTCCAATTTATGCAAGCTCCAAATCTTCATGTGCGCAATATAAACTAAATGCAGCAAAATTCAAGCAAAATAGATCTTTTAAAGCTATGAAAAGTGAATAGCCAATACCCAAAAGGTAACTCACTTGAATTAATTTTTGGATGACCGTGGCAGTCTGTTGCGGTATCAGAGGTATCTGATACACCTGAGGGATGGTAGGACAACTAGCCTCAAGTGGATTTATCAGATGAGCACCAGTCACTGGTGTGCCAGGAACTGTAATCCCACCAAGCAATCCCGCATTTCCCAATTGGAAAGCCCCAGGCACTGCTAAACCAGCTGAAACCAAGGATGCTGCAGGTTGATCCCACTTTCTTTTCTTCCTGTAGAAAGTGCTAAAGGTTAGCAAATTTTGGGGGGACCACATGATTTGAAATACAAATGAACAGTGGCATGCGCAAGCTCAAGCTCGCCCTAATCACAATTCCCAGAATTAGATATCTTAAACTAAATAATAAAACTAAACGATCCTCACTAACTTTTTTTTGGGCAATCAAGATCATGGTTCAGACAACACTACTGGCCGCAGAACTTTAACAGTAAGCCAAGTCCTCGTGTCCAATCTATTTCAAGTAATGAACGTCAGCTTATATCCTTCCATCTTTAAACATCCAATTCAAACACTGTTTAACAAAAGGGGGGCACATTTCAACCCTCATCCCCACCAACGTCTTGCAAATTGGAAAGAAATTGATAGTCGAACTATCATGATGCAGAGCTCACACCAAGCAATACCAAAATTGCAAATATGTAAAAACTCCCAAGAAAAAGAAGAAACCCCCTAAAAACCCTTCCCATGCATCCAGCATAAGAGCAAACAACCACAACCCTCAACCATGTTATTACAGTCAAACAAAAACATAGTGAATTAAATTTTGAAACATAAGAAGAAAATCCAGTGAAAAAATTACAAGGTCGTAATTGAAAGATATGAAATTTAAATTTGTCAAATGAATTAGGGTTTTAGTCGAATGCGAGGGACGGTACCTTTGCCTTGTTTGTGAGGCATCATTGGGCACATCCGAGGAAACCCTAGCGCCACTATCTTCCGTCATCGCTGATTTCTGTTCACCTTTTTTTTGCAGAGAGATTACCCAATATCAATCTTGGTTCTTTTTTCTGTTTTTGTTTTGATTTCTTGGTTCTGTTTAGTTTCTACAATTTTTTGTTTCTTTTCTTTTTCGTCTCTTTTTCATAAAATCTGGCCTCAAGTATTTTATATTCAACGTCATATAATATTCTCCAGTGCGAAGCCAAAGCCCAACGGCACATAAAGGCCCTGAAACAAGGCCCAATAAAAAAGACAATAAACTTAGCCCAGAACTCTTTACGGTTCGGGTCTTCCTCCTTGTATATTATATAAATTTAAAGTACTTTAGATTATTGCTTGTATCGAAAAATTATGATTTCAGTGAATAATCTGCAAACATTAAACTGTGCATTGTGCGTTGTTTCTTTCCTGGACAGTTGGACTATAGCCCTCCGTTTAAATAAGGGAAAATAATTTGAAATTTAGTTAAAAGTCGAGAATTTAGGATGAGAAATTGACAAATCCCTTATTTGGCAACTTAAGTAGGAAATTTATTATATGATACAAGAAAAAAATCATAGAAATTGAGGCATCAAATTCTTGAGTTTAATTTCTACTAAAATAAGCGTCATTTTAAAATTTCCATAAATATCATTTACAGAATTTGATATATAAATCTAAATATTAAAATTATTAATTATTAAAAATTAAAATAAGGGAAATTAAAATTCTGTTATTTTTAAAATTCTATGTAATCCTTCATCCGAACGGAATGTGGCTGTTTACAAGAAAGTCTTCATTCCGTGTGCACTACTATTTGTGCATCTTTTGTGTTTCGGTTCAAACAACGCAATCAACATAAATGCACCATCTGCCCAAGATAATGCCAGCATTTAATACGCATCCTCTGACGCTCTGAAAAGGTCGAATTGACAAGTACTTCTGGTCCCACTCTCTGAGACTTCAGTAAAGAAATAGGTTACGGCTCCTATTGTGACTTAGTAAAGAACCATCTTTTGTTTTGGTAAATACCACGAGGTCTTCATACACCCTGTTCGGGATTTAGCTTGTCCCAAATCGTACGGTGCTCTCAACATACTGAACCCTTGCCGAGGCTGGCACCTGGTAGGTGGTCACCACACCTTGTGTTAAAGAACCAGCTTTTGCATTGTCCACAATATATAGTTTCTGTGTGCTATCTGTAAAACGTTACGGCTCCTTCTGCTAATTCAGAACATGATGTCTCTTATGTGGGGTTCCTCCTCACCGCCCCCACCACCACCAGAAGCAGCAGTGAGCACGATGGCAAAGAAATGTGGAGGCTCAAGGGGTCTTCTGAGCAGCAGCAGGGGTGTGGTGAGTAATTCAAGTGGTGTAGTTGCTTCTAGTACTACTGGGTTTCCCTCATTTCTTCCAAAGGAGGTGGAGAAAATTAAAGACCCTTATGCCAGAACCTTGGCTCAAAGGATGGAGAGGCTCCCTGTACAGGTAGGTGCTATTAATTTTCTTTTCTTTTCTTTTTTCCCCATTCTTTTTTTAATTTACTTCTTCTTCTTTTTTCTTCGAAAGATCTTTGTTAATTGTTGTGTACGTTTTGTTTTGAGGTAGCTGGTAGCCATTTTTCTAATAAAAAAGGTTCCTCATTTCACCATTTTCATCTTCTTCCTTCATTATTTCCAACCTGCAAACTCTGTCTTTGTGTGAAAGGGAAGTGCTTGAATAAGTGCATTTTGTTTTTACTTGATTGCCTGATGTCATTCAACGAAAGGAAGTACTCCTTTTGCCTTTTTCGATGTTTGCTACCCAACCTTTGTTGTTGGGGGACCCTACTAGCCCCGAGGGTAAGGCTCGTGCTTTGTGCGACTTCACCACCAAGATCAAGGTTTAGGTAGACGTAGACAACCCAAGATCACTATGCCTCGTCTGAAAAAGCAACTAATCACTTTAATGCTCTGTTTTGTTACAAGGCCAGGTTACTAGGCTTGGCGGCTTTTGCTTTTTTTGTCCTGGTGTGTACTCATTGAACTGTAGCTTTAGAGTAAACTACAAAAGGTCATAATAGTAATTCCATGTGGCAGATTTTAACTGAAACTAAGGTAATTTCTCCAAATTATTATTATTATTTAAAATAAAAGTTTTTCACTTGAAATTTTACAATGAGAATTGAGCACCATTTCAAAGTACTTACTTGCAACACTGAAAATAGTTTGAGTTAACGTTAGCTGACAATATGAACGTTATTCATTTATTTCTTTAATGCACTTACAATTGCAGATTGGATCCTCTGAAAGTTTTATTATGAGTAGCTGTGTGAAACCTCATAAACAAAGTGAGATCAATCCAGTGGTTCTCCTTCATTGCTTTGAATGTTTGCATCTGTTAGCTCTTGTTTAGAGTGGAGGTGCGCATACCCCCTGCTTGAAGAAGCTGGGTTGGAGGCTTGGGCTGTTGATGTTCTTGGGTGGGGATTCTCTGATTTAGGTTCATTCACCTGTCTTTTCCTCTTTGTTATTTGGTCTGGATTGGACTTTTTTTTATCCTATCTCTCTTTTGCAACAAATGCTTCATTGTTCATCCGTTTAATCATTCTTTATTGGTACTAGAAAGGCGCCCACCGTGCAGTGCAGCATCCAAGCGTCATCATCTCTATCAGGTATCCATCATGTACTGTGGTTTTCTTCTTCTTTACTCTGTTCTTTTATCCAGAGAACGTCGTTTCTGTCTCAAAGTTATGCCCTTGGTGAAAAATGCTGTTTGTTTGTTTCTATATAGCATGTGATGTAATAATATCTTTGGTTGGCAGCTCAGCTAGAAAGTTGTCTACAATGGATTGGATATTTTGCTATGTTAATTACATAGTTGGCATTGGATTAAAACTTTTATCATCTGTTGTCAAAATTGAAATCTAATGTTATTATTTGAGCTCAACGATATAACTGGTTTTCTCGTTTCAAATATAGTTTTGGAAGTCCTACATCAGAAGGCCAATGATATTAGTTGGACCAAGCCTTGGTGCTTCTGTTGCAATTGACTTTGCAGTCCACCATCCAGTAGCTGTAAGTAACTCCTACTTTGAGCTCATTAGCTCTACATTCATTGTTTAATAAATTATTTAGTGTGCTTTCCATGGATTAATTTTCAATTCAGACCATTTTAGCGGTTCTATCGTAAACTCCAATATAAGTTGATGCCGGAGTTCTATTTAAAAGCTATATATAGACTATAGCATTTTGGATAAACTTACAATAAAAAGTTTGGAATTTTTTTAAGGCTTCTGCAAAGTGTAAACCTGCGATTCTTAATAAATAAATCAAGAAACATTCGATGCAGAAAAACCTCTGTGGCTTGAAATTGAGTGGATTTGAAAAACTATGATCTGAGTATTGACATAATTGAGTTGACCATCATTTCCTGAACAAATACTAAAACTTATATACCTGCATGTATAAGATAATTAGCTAACTTTTAGGAGTTATTGAGGCAACCTGGAGTCTATGCGTCTGGTGTCTTAACATTGCTGCATTGCACTCTTACTCTGCTCCTCCACCCATTAAATTGTTGGCCCTCACTCTTGTTGTTATTTGCCTGATGATGTCTAGCTGATTTTAATTTTCTATTTTACAGGTTGAAAAGCTGGTTTTAATAAATGCAAGTGTGTATGCAGAAGGCACTGGAGACCTGGCAAAGTTACCTAAATTCTTGGCCTACGCTGGGGTGGGTGTCCAAAAATGCTTGAATTTTACTTCTATAATTATATCATCAACCCTGATGATTTCCAAGGGAAGATGTTCTATTATTGTGATGTTAAAATATCATTATGTGCATATGATGTGAGATCATGCGATGTTTGTCAACATTAGGAGGCAGGGAAATCGGATATTTTTCATTGCTCTGTCCTGCCTACTACACCATTATGTCAATCATACATGAAATTTTCTTTTAATGAACTTCCTTAATGTTATGATTCTGAACTTTTTATTCACCAGGTTTCTTTATTGAAGAGCATACCTCTACGCCTTTATGCAAATTTGTTGGCCTTCAATGGCATTTCATTATCTACAACCTTTGATTGGACTAATGTGAGTTTATCCTTTTGGTAATTTACTCTTCCAATGGAACAGACAATTAATGCATTTTTTGAAAATTTTATCTTGGCATATTTGTCTATCTTGTTAAAGTAGGTCTAATGAAAATCTGATAGAGATCCTGCCCTATTCAGGTTGGCCGTTTACACTGTTTGCTGCCTTGGTGGAAAGATGCAACAGTCAGTTTTATGCGTAGTGGAGGCTACAATGTTATTTCCCAAATAAAACAGGTAGACTCTCAACATATTAATGGATATGGTATAGTGCAAAACAGAATTCCGTAAGTCCGGATGGGCAATGAGTAGCTTGAAGTCCTGTTAATATATGATATCTGTGGGCAACTAAGCTTCTAGGAAGGACATGCAGTCTGAAATCTTATTTTACAGGTGAAGCAAAAAGCACTTGTGATTTGCAGCGAGCAAGATCATATTATCAGCTACAAACAAATATTGGTCAGTTTTGAGCTGCTACTTAACTTCTGTGGTTAAAACTAAACTAAGCAGGTCAACACAAATGCATTTTGTAACGAATGGCCTCAACATGTTTCAAAGTCATTTTCAGATAGGAGACTGAAATTATGCTCTTGATTTTAAAAAGTGCATTAGAGATTTGCTATTATTTGAAGTTTGCAACAGACTTATTTGGCAGTCAATTAAAATAGATTCAAAACTGAACAAGCCTGTTTGAAGTTAATTATTCTGAATTTTTTTTTTTTAAAAGGTGAATGAGAACTTCAGCCTCCAAATGGGCAATTCATGATAAGCATTTGCAACCCCTCCTTCCAGTAATTTTCTTTTCTTGCTGTTCTTAGGAGGGCGGCTGAGCTATATTTAATGTTTGCTCATTAGTACAAGTAACTCTGAACATTTATTTCAGGCACAATGTTTTATACTTCGCCTTGTTGTAATCGAAATGCAGAGGCTACGCTGTGAGCTTCCGTACGCAATCATGCGGCTAATACCAGATAGTGGTCACCTCCCTCATGTTGAAAATCCCACCTCTGTTGTGAAACTAATTGCAGGGTTTGCTCGGAACGATTGTTGCTGAGGACGAAACTGTTGCAGAATTTGTTGGACTTGTCCTCTGCTACTAAGAGGCCTGTTCTCCTTGGCAATAGTGATGTATTTCTTCGTAACACTTTTTTCCATTTGTAGTGCTTCTGAATTTCAGAGGATGCCACCCCAGAATTAGATTTCTTTTATGTTTGCAATGTGAATCTGAATAACCGATGGAACAGTCCGCCAAAAAATAGTATGATATTAGGAACAATAAATAAATAATATTCCTCTCTCCTTTGGCAATGATTTTTCATGATGTTTGATGCTCTATGTGTTTTATCTGGTTTGCTTCTAGGAGTTGGTTTCATTGTATTTTATTTGGCTCATTGGTCCTATCTTTGTGCTTGAATTGTAATAATAGTTTAGCTGTAGCCCTCCTTATTCAGAGGGCTTGGATGCTTTCGATTCTCTGTAACTGAATTTGTTTATCAATGACTTTTCATCTTTTGAATTGTAATACTAGTTTAGGATGTAACCCTCCTTATTCAGAGGGCTTGGATGTTTTCGATTCTTTGTAATTGAATTTGTTTATCAATGACTTTTCATCTTTTTCGTAATTTTTTTTATTTATTTAAAAAGTTTACACCACTTACATTACTTTTATTTTATTTTAATACAAGTAATAATCTACTTTAAAAACTAATCTAAACTATGGGAAGGGATATTCAAAATCAGGTAAAGAGTGGGGAGCACGTTCGCTCTAGCCATCGGCTTTAGTCAACTTGGATAAGTCCATGGGTGCCACATACATTCCTTGGCAAATGATACATTGTATAATTATTTTATTGTTAATATGTGTGTTTTACATTTACATTTTGTTTAGCCAATGATTAAACATTTCCTTACACATTATTATCTAGGGGTGGTTGCGGTTCAGTAATCGTGAATTTTTGCCCAAACCGCAAATCAACCGACTATTTGTGGTATGATGATTTTTGAAACCACAAACCAACAGCTTTTTGTGGTTTACCGCAATGCGATAAACTTCAAAAAGCGGTCGGTTACCGTGAATTAGCGGTTCAAAATCGCAAGTTCTTTTTGTGTCATAAAAATCCAATCTTCCACATTTTAGGCCTAATTTTGATGCTTCTTTTGAAACCTTTTGAGTTCAAGCATACTTTAACCCAAAAATATAAATTCACAACCTCAACTTCTCAAGCATATATAAATTCACAACCTACTCAACTTCTCAAGCATTCACAACCTAAAGAAAATTAAAGTTAAAATTTCAAGCATTTCAATTAAAGTTAAACTTCTCAAGCATTCACAACCTCAACTTCTCAAGCATTCCAATTCTAAATCCTTTAAAGTTACAAACCAAAAGGAAAATGCAATGCAAAATGAATTAAAGTTACAACCCAAAGGAAAAATCCAAGTCAAAGTTAATTAAAGTTACAAACCAAAAGGAAAATGCAATGTACCAATGTTACAAACTAAAGTTACAAACTCAAGTGTTGGTAGTGGTGAGTGGATTTGAAGGACCCCATTGTGTTGTTTGAGCACCAATGCTATATATAAAATGCAATTTTTTTTTTCATAAAAAATATAGTCGCGATTTGCGGTAACCTCAAGTTTTGAAAATCAAATACTACAACCGCAACCGCAAATGCGGTTCGGTTCTTCATACCGCAAATGCGGGTCGGTTTCCCTCGATTGCGGTAAATTGTCAGTTGATTTTTGCAGTTTTTCGGTCTAAAATGCCACCCATATAATTATCAAATCTTATTGCTTAAAAAAAATACAGAACTACTATAATATTTGTGCGTGCAAAAAAAAAAAAGAAAAAAAAAACAATAGGTTGTAGTGGACCATAAATCCAAAACGGTGCGTTTGGTACGCGACTTCTTTCTTTCAGTTACTAAACCCTAGTTCCTTCCATCCCTTGAATCTTAAACCCTGCTAGCACCTCTCTCTCGTCCTTCTCTTTCACTTAGAGAAACAAGAGATGGACACGGACGGAAATTCGGGAGACGCGTCGAGGGTGGTCCATGTGCGCTTCATCACGAAGCTCGACCGTCCTTTCAAAGTTCCAAATTCCTCCATTTCCGTCGCCTCCAATTTCACCCGATTTGGCCTATCCAGCGTCGTTAACAATCTTATCCAAACAGGTAAGCTCTAACATATTCACACGTAAAGTTTTCCTTTTATCCATTGATACTCTGTTTGGCTGCTTAGAAACTGAGGGGAAAAGGATTTTACTTTAGTGTTGTAAGTTTGTTGGTTGCTTGCTATGCTTATTTGGAATTTTTTATAATAAAAAATGTGTTTTAATGCTCATTGGTAATTGTGATTAGAGAATCCTGATTGGGAAGTGGAGCCTTTTGATTTTCTTATCAATGGCGAGCTGGTTCGGATGTCGCTTGAAAACTTCCTTCTTGCCAAGGGCATTTCTGCGGTACTTATCTCCCCTTTCTGATTCAATTTGCGATGATTGTAGGAATTGTGTACCCTATGTTCTGTATAGGTGTATTTTCTGATAAAATACTATGTAAGCAAAATGGGAAGTAAAAAAGAGGAGTGCGAAGAGAGAGAATGGGGTACGTTATTTAATTTATCTTAAGAACCAACAAGAGTTGAGCTAATTGGGTAAATTACTCCAGCAAGCCACATAGTATGAGTTTTACAATTATGTTTTTGGGTATCACAAATCTGCAAAATTGATTTGATGCGATGTTCTGAAACTGAGATTTATTTTTGGTCCATTTTTAATTTGGTGTCAAGTCGGAAGGTCCTTCTTTCTAAAACTAGAGTGGAATGAGTCTAGAGTTGCATATGTTGCTTTAACGAGCTGATTTGAGAAAAGTTTTTCCACCGTCTTTATTTGATAGCTAACTGTAGGTTTACGACTATTACAGGAAACAATATTGGAAATTGAATACATACGGGCTGTAGTTCCACGCAAAGAAGAAGAACCTTCGTTACATGATGACTGGGTCAGTGCAGTTGATGGTTCTAGTCCCAGGTATGCACATAACATATTGTGATGTGTTCTTCATTTCTTCACAGAAGTCATTTTTAAGTGCTCCTAAGTTTTTATTGTCATAAACTCTTGTCCTGCATGGCTTGGGTTATACCTTCAAATTAAATTTCTTGATCACATGTTGGTAGGTGCAGTATGTAAGTGATAATATATCTGTCATTAAGAAAATTTGATGTGAAATTAATTTATTTGAGCTGGGGAATTTTGATCCCCAACTCCCAAATCTCTTCAGAGGAAACCTTCAATTGTCATTTCTCAGTATGTTTGTTATTTATTAGATGCGTTTGCATGTTTTGCTTCATGGTGCAATAGAGATGAAGTTATCTCTGAAAACATTATCTTAAATTCTAAAATGTCTGTAACTTGTGTTCTGTGGCAGGTTTTTTTTGACAGGGTGCTATGATGGTTTAGGAAGGTAATTTTACTAAGAAGTTTTGTTATTTTTTCTGTACATTGGGATTTCTTGTGTGTATATCAAATAATTCTTGATATACCCATAATAAGGAAGCTTGATGTTTTCTCTCTTGATTTTGATCTTCTTTTAGGGTATGGAAAGCTGCTGGTGTATGTACACACATACTGGAAGGACACAGTGAACCTGTTTCTTCTGTTAGCATAATCAATCCAGAAGGTAGCCATAAGTATCTGTAATTCAATTTCCAAAACTCTTTAGGTCTCGTCGCCATTGCTTGAGCAGTTATTTATTTTTTTATTTTTATGCAGGTGCAGATAGTGTTACCGTAGCTACTGCTTCGAAAGACCGGACACTTAGACTGTGGAAGGTAATTGGATGTGCATACTTTTTTATTTTATTTTTTATAATGGTAGTCTTACGCGTTCACTAATATTTTTATTCATTTTTTTGGGGGAAGTTCAATGCAGAAGATACCAGAAGAAATCCTTTGAAGATAAACGCATTCAAAATTTTGCGTGGACATAGAGCATCTGTTCAAAGTGTTGCTGCTCAGACCTCTGGAAACATGGTCTTGTCTATTCACCTCTTCTTTATTTTTCGGTTACATAGCAGTGTATGTGAGATTGGGCTCTGACGTCAAGTTTATCACTCACCTCTTCTTTATTTTTTGGTTACATATACTTAGATCTGTTCAGGCTCTTGGGATTGCACAATCAATTTGTGGCAGACAAATGAGCCAGTTTCAGAAGGTGACACTGTATCAACAAAGAAGAGAAAAACCACTGGTCAAGCTAAGGAATCTCAGTCGGAGGTATTTTATATGTATTTATAAATTTATATATAGGGTTTAATAATTTTTGGGGCGACATTCAATTGACTATGTGGGAGAGGCTTTTTAAATATTTAACTCCGGGCGTACACTGTTTATACAACTTCGAGTACACACAAATGGCATTAGAACATAACACTTTGTTCTCAACTGGAAGTTTTCCATTACTGAATTATTAATGGTTTCTTTAATTATACCTGTTATTTACATTTGTTCCTGTTAATGCAAAACAGTATTTTGATGTAATATGTAAAGGTAATGGACAGATCAATTCATTTGAAGGGGATGTCTATGTAACAAACAGAATTTAATTCATTCCTTTGAAGGGGATGCCTAGCTGCATATTGAATATTTTTTTGTTGTTGTTGAGAGTTTAGCTAGAAATACATGAAGTGTTTCCTCTTTAGAAAGATTTAAAAGATTATTGCATCAATCATCATTGTGTGGTTTTCCTGTTTAGGGGGAGGCTGTTTCTTCTCTAGTGGGCCACACACAATGTGTATCTTCTGTAAAGTGGCCGGAGCGTGAAAACATAGTAAGTGCAAATAGATTTTTTCTTACCTCTCTGTTGTCTGAAGTCTTTTTCCGTAACCATGCTTGTATGTGGCATCGAATACCTATCACATGCTTCAGAACAAAGTCCTTGCATTTCCTTTCTCAGATTTCTTGAAAGTTTAAACGGTAACTTTCTCTTGCCATACAGTTCTGTGGTAAAGCCCTCAACTGTCTTGATATTGGAGGTGAAAGTTCCGCTCTTGTTGCTGGTGGTGGTTCTGACCCTATTCTTAAGATATGGGATCCTCGTAAACCAGGTCTGTTAGATGAGCTAAGTGCTTTGTTCTCTCTCTGTTTCACGCGCACACGGACACAAACATCTAACATAATTTTTTTTTCTAGGAACTTCTGCTCCTGTCTATCAATTCTCATCTCACACTTCTTGGATTACGGCATGCAAGTGGCATGAGAAGTCTTGGTTTCATTTAATTTCTGCATCTCATGATGGAAAAGTTATGCTGTGGGATTTGAGAACTGCTGTAATGCCTTCTCCTTGTTTTGCTATCTAACAATGGTTCATGAGTGCTGCCCGACGTGACCTTTAAATAAATCTGGTACTTAATAATATTATTTTCTCTTGCAGTGGCCCTTATTTGTCATTGATGCGCACAAAGACAAGGTATAACATTATTCTTTCTTTCTAACCTTTATCATTTCTTCATTATTCTAAAGAAATTCAAAGTTTTGATAATATGGTGATCTTTGCTGTAACTCAGGCACTATGTGCTGACTGGTGGAGAGGTGATACTGTGCTTAGTGGTGGGGCAGATTCAAAGCTTTGCATGACTTCTGGGGCTTCTGTGCTGTGAGAGGTAAAAAGTTAAAGTTTATAGGTTATTTAGAAACTTTAATTGACCTTTAAAACCTTCAAGTGAAATAGATTCTTTTGAATGTTGTCTTCGCTATAACTCAATCTTGGATAAGAGTAACTTAACTCATCAGTGGAACAAGACACTTTTATATCTATGTTCATCTGGGTGCATACCTACACGGATGAGCTTTATTTTAAAAGTTTGTTTTGATTTGATGATCCTACTTTCCTGTATTCACATGTGGCATTAAAAGCTCAAAGATTCTGTCTCATTGTATTTGGCTTTAGTTTCCTGCTCGATTATAATATCTGTACTTTTGCCTTTGTTTTCAGCTATAAGCAGAAGAGTGATTTGAAGATGGAAGTTGCATAGCTGGGAACATCCTCAAAGCTCTCTCCGCATTTCTCATGATCTTCTGGAAATGGTGGTGCGAATAGGGAAGTCTAAGTTTGCATCTAGGGGAGGTTTGAACAAGGGTTTAGGTGCTCGGTTGTCTCATGGCCGGAGCCGGAGATATATAGTTTCAGAGCTAATTTTCAGTCCATGGCACACTATGGTTGTAGCAAATAGAACAGGCTTTACCTCTTTATACGTGATCGTGGTCTGGACTCTTGAGAGTAATATTCATTCATCATGGATCCGCTCCATGCACAATTGCATGATTTATCTTATATTCCTTGGTAATTTTATGTTTTATCGAAGTTCGCTTGTATTTTTCCGCGTGGTTCGATCCTTCTTCCATCATCTTTATCTTCTGAGCCAAGACAGATGACTATAAAGTTAAACCCTAATTTAGGTCTTCAAACCTGCTGCCATGCATATGTAATGTAAGATATCACATCAAAGATGTGTTACTAAAAAAATTATTGATTTGTTCGCCAAAATTTTTGATACTATTTAAAAAAAAAGGAGATTTCTTGATACTTGTGAACGGAAATTCTAGTAGGATTTTCTCGAATGGTAGGCAACCAACCCTTATTTCTTTTATTAAGTTTTCAATTTATCTAAAGATACCATCATGCAGTCAAACTATTATTTGATGATCTGGACTATTATCACTTAAACTTTTATTTATTAATTTATGTAATTTTTTGCAACGAGATTTAATCCAGTAAAAAAGAGCTTTGATTTGCAGATTACTTGTCTAATCTCCATTCCCCAAATCACTGGTATAAAAAAATAATTAATTTTATATAATTTTCCATTAGATACAAGCAGTGGTTGAAACTTGAAAGTATGAACAAAAGATAATCGGACTAAAAGTTAACGTTTGATTTGAGTTTGTTTGCAACAATAATTCAGATACATCCATCACTTTCTCTGAGTTTGAAAAGCAAAAGAGTCAGATTTGGGAAAAGTGAGTTTCCTTTTACAGGTGGGCCTCTGTGGAGTGTGTGTGACACTGACAACCCGTGAGCGCAAACTAAGCCGTTAAAATGACTGAACTGCCCATCAAGGGGTACTGCTTCCATAAGGTTCTTGTCTTTCTTAAAATGGCTTAGGACCAACAAATTTAAAATTAAACAACTCTCACTCTCTTATTATTTAATTTCCTTTCATAAAAAAAGGAGATATTATCACACTGGTGTGGTGTACATAAAATTAGGGGCATTTAAGTCAATTAATATTGCGGTCAAATAATATTATAGTCCCAATCCCAAGCTCGAGTGAAAGCCGTTTTGCATTGCCACTTCCACGGCATATAAATGCCACCCTCAGTCCCCGCGCCATTACATTTAACATCTCCTATTTCTCTGCTCTGTCTCGCGTTCAAATCCACACCACAGAATTCCCCACTTTTCTTTCTTTCTTCCTCTCTCTCTCTTTCACGAACAAGCCAAATCATGGGGTCTCTTCAGCTTGTTTCAGATTAAGCTTCAGCATTTGCATCAGGTCAGATATCTACACATTTTTTTAATCATTTCCTATCTAAATATAATATATACGTATACATATGATTTATTAGGAATCTCAAAGAGAAATGGATCATTAATGTGTACATGCATGTATGCTTGTAAATACTATGTTGTTTGATGAATTTGGGTTTCTGGGTAACATTGCTTGAATTGTTGATGTTATGTTTCATTGAGATATTGTGAAACTTGAATCATATAGATTTTGGGTCAAAGAAACTCTTTTATGTGTTTTAAATTTTGGTGTGCCTGCCTAATATCTTATTACAAATCAAAATTTTGATTTCCTTACAGGAAGAGATGGGTAGCATTTCATTGCCTGACATGGCAGTTGGGATCATTCACCACTGTCCCACTACTTATTCAGGTTCACATTGGAAGTATGATAAGAATTTATGCCTGGGGCGGCGTCCTCCTATCTTTAGAACTGCTTCGAAAAGAAAAAAGTGTGTAATATCTCGCGACTGCTCCTGTGAATTTCTATTTTCTTTTTGTACTTTGCTTGGTAACCTTGTACTACTTTCTTTTATATGTTGTGGAAACTATTGCCTGTTATTTGAAGTTTAAGTTTTTATCATGACCAAAATGGAAATCTTGCAGGAACCCTTTCTGCAAACCTCATTGGCTATGTAAATCAAGAACAAGAATTTTTTCAAGCATGGTATATCTCTTCATGCTGAAGGAATGATGATATATTTCTCTGCATACTAGTAATCACAGCTTTTATCAGTAGTTTTAACTTTTAGTTTTATATGAAGCTAATGGAGTAACCGGAAAGTACCAAGCATTGGAGGCATGTGACTTTTTGTCTTTTGATTTCTATGGCAGGATGATTCCGGTGACACTTTTGCAGATGTGGTTGAAACTTCAGGAAGAAATGAAGTGTTGAACATAGAAGAAGATGAATTAATGACCGCTAGAAAAGCTCTTTCTGAGGCCCAAGCTAGACAAGAAGCCATTGAGAAAGAGAGAGATCAATTGCTTGAAAAATTGGCCTGTTCGGAAGCTAAACAACAGGAATATATTGCTACCATATTGCATGAAAAGGAACTGGCTATTGCAGAAGTTGAGGCAGCCAAGTCTTTGTTCGATCAGAAGCTGCAGGAATCAGTTGAAGAGAAGTTCAGCTTGGAATCTAAGTTAGTCCTTGCAAAAAATGATGCTGTTGAACTTGCAGTGCAAGTAGAAAAGTTAGCAGAAATTGCTTTTCAGCAGGCCACATCTCACATTCTAGAAGATGCTCAGTTAAGGGTTTCAGCTGCAGAAACTGCAGCTGCTGAAGCAGCTTATGAGATGGAAAAGCAAATTAGGGATGTGACTGAAGGGAGTATATTGTCAATTGTTGAACAGTCAAAATATGCCATAGAGAAGGCACTGGATGTAGCAGAAAAAGCTGGCGAGCATGCAACAAAAGCAGTATCAGAATTTACTGAAGGTATGAATCCACTGGATGAGCTTGCTTCCATCCAGTCAAAAAATATTATGTTACAGGGTGTCGTAAATGATTTAGAATCTCAGTTACTGCTTACAAGAAGTGACGTTGATAGGTTGAAGTTGGAGTTGGAAAAGGCCCATGCACATGCAAATGCATTTGAGCTCCGAGCTAAGGATGCTGAGAAAGCACTGCTTGAATTTCAGGAGTCGAGCAAGAAAAACACTCTCCAGAAAGAGGAGGAAATTATGTCTTTGATAGAGAAAATGAAGAAAGATTCATCAGAAAGAAAGAAGAATTCTTCAAAGGCTTTTAAGGCTGAGTTGCAAAGCATTAGGGACGCTATTGGAGCTGCCAAAGAAATGGCGCATTCCAAAGATGATGCCTACTTGAGAAGATGCGAAGCACTGCAGAGATCATTGAAGGCATCTGAAGCTACTACAAAGATGTGGAGACAGAGAGCAGAAATGGCAGAATCAATATTATGTAAGGAAAGACCACTAGGTGAAGGGGATGAAGATTCCATTTATGTTGTTAATGGTGGACGAATAGACCTCTTGACAGATGATGATTCACAGAAATGGAAACTTTTAAGTGATGGCCCTCGCAGAGAGATACCTCAATGGATGGCGAGGAAAATTCGTACTATCCGTCCCAGGTTTCCACCAAGAAAGATTGATGTCGCTGAAGCGTTGAGCTCAAAGTTCAGATCTTTGGACTTGCCCAAGCCTAATGAAGTATGGTCTATAGCTCAGGAAAAGCCAAAGGAGGGTGATATACTTATTGAGCATGTGATTGAGAAGGAAACAATAGAGAAGAAACGGAAAGCCCTAGAGCATGTTCTTCAAGGGAAGACCATACAATGGCAGAAGACACCAGAACAAACAAACTTAGGTCAGTTTTCTTGTATTCTCAAAATTGCTTCATGCTACTGAGAAAGCATGTGTCTGAAACAGTGTTATCTGACTTGAAATTGTGCATTGACTTCAATGCAGAGTCAGGAACTGGAACAGGGCGCGAGATTGTGGTATGTATGTTGATACCCATTATTTGAAATATCAATATGTCATCCCAGAAGTAGTAAAGATTTGTTATGCAAGACTATCTTTGAACTTCGGTTCCGGTGTGCAGAAGTACTATTATAAAATGTCTGTCCCCAATTTCTCCACGTATATTTTTTCAGTTTCTGGAGGTTTTCAAGAGGCTGTTCTTTCCAACTGATGATTTTGCTCCTGCCACATACTCATTATTTTGAGTGAAGATAGCCCCTCAAAGCTAAAATTTGTTATTTCTCAAGTCAGATGTTCAGATTTAATGTCATCAAAATATGCCTATTCTCCCTCCCCCCTCTCTCTCTCTCTCTCTCTCTCAACTGTGATCAACTAGAGGTTTATCTTTGATTATTTTACTCGAGAGAAAGAAGCAATTCATGGATTGTTACCTAGTGACTCTTATACTGTTGCTTTTGAAGTTTCAAGGCTTCAATTGGGAAAGCTGGAGAAAGCAGTGGTACCTGGATTTAGCTCCTAAAGCTGCTGATTTATCTAAAATTGGGGTAACGTCAGTGTGGTTCCCACCACCAACAGAATCTGTTGCTCCTCAAGGTTCATCTCCTCCATGTCCATTTTGATTTATCCTTATCTTTCTTCTCATAATGGTTAGATATAACAAGATTAATATCTTTTGATACATTCCTGTGATGCAAATAATCATTTTGCTTGGTGGTAGTCATATTGTTTAGTTGTTATTAACAATCTTGCACTCCTAACAATCACCTGCGCTGAATTCTTTTCCTTCTGTTGTGTTCTTCAAAGTATTTGTATGAACTCACAGTCGACACTCTACCTGCATTAGTGTGTATGTTTGTCTCTGAAAATATCTACTTAGAACTCGCATTAGTATATTAAGTAGCATTAAAACATGATTTGCTTAAGTTTGGGCCTCTGCAATAATTTTGTATAGCATTTGTGACCCAATATGATATGGTATGCAGGTTATATGCCTTCTGACCTTTACAATTTGAACTCATCATATGGTTCTGTGGAAGAACTTAAACACTGCATTGAGGAAATGCATTCTCATGGTCTTCTGGTATGTATGTGATCTTTAATATGACTGGTTTAATCTTAGGCCATCGAAGGTCAATTCTTAAATCATTTAAAGGTTTTTGGTTGATGATAATTTCCTGTATTATTCGTTTGTTCTCTATTTCGAGGAAAGTAAAAACTGTTGAGAAAATGCCTTTCGTTGGTCACAGGCTCCAAAAAAAAGTAATTCATATTTGGAAAGTCAGATAGTAGGGTCCAATTCTGAATAATGATGTGCATATGTTATAGGGATATCTGCTCCTTTTCTTTTTTGTTTGAT